GAACACCAAGGTAAATTCAGTATGGGAAAAACAGAGAAGGAAAAATAAGAAACAAAGGACAGAAGCAGAAGCAACAGAATTTTCTCCATGATGACTGAAGACACACCAGTGAAGAATGGCAAAAATAACCACTCTTCTCCACAAAAGCCAGCTTTGGCTCTTAGGCTTTAGGGAAATCTTGTGCTGACTCCAACAGATGTCTTGCATGGTCTCAAAAGGAATATCCAATTCTGATTGCCCCGTAGGAATTCAGCCCTCCCTGCTGAATGAATGGAATGCTCCAAATTTAAGAACAAACAAATATATCTACTTCCTCATATTTCAGTTTTGCTATTACAATTTGTGATGTCTTAGTATTTTCCTTAGTATTTAAAAATCTAAAGGTCATTAATTCCAAACTGTTGTTTCTCGTACTTTTTTGCTTATTTAAAGTCTGTGCTTCTGCTGAGGATTATAAAGTTTATGTCCCTGAACTGCATATTCAATATAAGGAGTTATAGTTATATATGCATATTTTCTAATGCTTTGAATGACAAGGACACTTTAAGAATTATAATAATGTTCCTTCAATGAAATAATCTCACTGATATCAGTGAGATCAAATAAATGTAAAATACTACTTAGCAAAAGCAAGAAAGGTAATTTGATTTTAACTAGCTGCTAGGACAATTGATAGCTAAACACTGCAAAATCAAGAAGTCCCTGTGATATAAGTATATTCAAAAAGTGAGAATTAAACATAGTATTTAAAATTAGTATTTATATTTAGTTCTACTGATAAATTCTCAGCAGCATGAAATATAGCAAATATTAACATCATATGAGAATAAATCAATGTTTTCACCTCTAAAACCTCTGCAGTGCCATCAGCAATATTAACCCTTTCTTTGAATGTTTTAGGCTACTGAGTATATGCAGTTAGGCTTAATAATAATGATAATAAAAAGTAATAAGAATCAGGAAATTGATTATGTTAATTTAGTTGTATTAATTATAACTCAGCTGAAGGGCAGTACTCTTGTGTTCACAATCCCCTTCTTCACATATTATTCCAAGCAGACACTACCAACATCAAATTTGAATGATTTTATGAATGTTTATTTTCAACATAAACTCTACTAAGCCTCTGTGCTTCAGGTACCTTTACCTTCTTAGATGATGTGTGTTCTGCCTCTTGGTTCTTTTTGGTCCTCTTTAGAGCCTCCAAGAAATTCTGATTCACTATATCCCCCAAACAGAAGAATAAAGAACACTTACAGCAGCCATGGCTGTCATGGCTGTCATAAAAACTGTCAGGAGGAATACTTCTGTGGTATTTGCTGATACAAGCAGGAAAATTATGTTGTGTTCTGTATTTAGGTGGTAGATATTTATTTACACCTTCAGGTAATTTTTCTGAGAAATTGCTGAACGTACTAAAATAACTAGGCCACTGGAAGGTTTTTATTAGCTCGTAAGTTTTGCTTGGTTACTTTGCTACTTGCATAATTCTGAACAAATATCCCTGCATAACATGTTTAAAACTAGCATAAAGGACAGACTTCAAACATTGACATTTGACTGAGTTGAGCAACTGATTAATAACTCGTACATCTTCACTTTTCAAAAAACCTTTCAGTTCTTGTAATTATCTTTCTGAATGTAGTAAAAAAATTTATACTCACTCTGCACTTTATTAGTGCATTCTATACCATTCTTTGTAGACCTTATTACTTGCACAAAAATCACATTGCAGTATTTCTTCTTTTTATTAACCTCTTCGGCTACAAGATAATATATCAAAATTGTCTTGTGGGTAAGGAGATTGTGAAAAGCACAATTGTGAAAAAAAAAAAAAACAACAGAGAAGTAGAAACAGTAAATTCCCGGTTCTGTTCATAGCTGGATCACAGACCAAGCACAGGAAGGTTTTTCTGAGTATTTTATGATTACATTTCCAGATATTTTATCTAAATCTGCCTTTGTCCACTTTTAGACTGAATTTTAGAATCACTAATAATTTATCATACCATTTAAAGTTAAAGAAGAACTAAAATCAGCGAAGTCCACAGTAGTTTGGTATGCTTAAACCCATACACCTTTGAAGTACGGATTCTGAAAAGTGATAGGTGTAAAAGAAATGGAGTATTAAAAAAATGAAAAAAAATCTACTTTATCCCGTGTGCTGCTCTTTTTAGAAATTTTCATTCTTATTCCTACATTTTACTCTCAGAGTGATGATGGAAATAACATATTAACAGTAATACTGAGTAAACTGAGTATTAGAATAATGTGCACTCTTTACGAGTTTCTAATTTGTGATGGAACTGTCACAATCAGATGCACAACAACACCCATTTGGTATTTTTTGTACATATGGCTCCTGGAACGCAGATTTGGTCAGATTTCAAACTGTTTATATGTTGGGTGTGCTGATTACTGTAATTTAAAGCAAAATATTGATGGGTTCAGACAATATAGATAATACAATTATTTCTTGTGTAGTTTAGGGAAGGACCTTTGTGATGTCTGCTTGCAAGGAACCACTTTGTCACTAAAATCCAGGAAAGAAACTCTCTAACCAGTTTGTTATGTTAGAAAGTTGATATTTTTTCAGTATGTTGGGTGCATGGTGATAGCTTCACCTAATATTCACATCCACTTTCAAAACTTTTCACTAGTAATACACTGTAGCAAATAAAGAAATTAATGTTCATCGGCTATAAGTTTCATAATTGTCTTCATTGATTAGTATTCTAGCTCCTATTTGTTTTCTCACTTCTCATGCTAATTAGCCCAGTTCTTCAGTCTTTTTATTATCTTTTTCCCAAACAGCACATCGAGTGCAATTGCTGAAATGACTTAGTTATTTTCATCCTTATCTTGAGTTTCTGCAAAATGTCCTCGTGGTTCATGAATTTTGCATTACTTTTGTCCAGTTTCAACAATAGATGTCTCTGCAAGGCTTTGTTAATGTCCTTTGAGATCATTGAAACCTATCAAAGTGTTGATTACATTTGTTTCAGCGAAACTTGAAAGTTTCAGTCATTTTCCCAAATTATGTTCCCACAATACCAGCTTATGACAACCTGGCTAAATTCTGGCTCCAGTAGCATATGACAGAGGGTTAAATTACATTGCTTCAAACTAATTAAAACAATTAATTAGAAGAGATAATTAAAATAATTAGTAGGAAAATTTTGAGTAAAGTTATATAATTTCCCACACTAATTGGCACAAGGCTTATTAATCACAGATGTAGAGAGTTAAAACAAAGCCACATTTTTCCCTGGTGTTTGTAGTAAGCACTGTATGATACAAACAAAGCATTAATCCTAGATAGGGGTCAAACACTATTGTGCTAAGGTTAAAAGAATTTTCTCCCACTGCTGCATCAACTCCTTTTAAAAGAATGTAATTTGTTGGGTAACACTTTTAACTACAAGTCCTGTGACTGTCCACAAAAGTGTGTTTTACATACTTTCCTCACATACTTCAAATACAAATATTAGATATTACACAGTAATATCTAAAATTTCTGGCTGAAGCATGGAGGCTATGAAATACTGCTTCCTTAAAAGCATAACTGGATTTTATATCTAGTGGTTATCTTTTTAATATCTAGTGGGAAAGCAGGACACTACTGAAGGAACTCAATGGAACAGAATAACAGAATATTCTGACTTGGCAGAGGCCCACCATGATCACAAAGTCCAGTTCCTGGGTGTGAAAAATGCCAATCCCTTCTTTTTTTAAATTTTAAAACTTTAATTGTAATAAAATGGTTATAAAAATAGTAATATAATTAGAGTAAAAAAAAAAAATGAACAATTGAGATTAGGACAATATTAGACAAAAAAACCAAAGAGTTACGGACAGTCCAGGTACCTCTTTCTGGACAAAATAAGCCCGAAAAAGGACACACGTTAACAGAGGACTAACCCTTAAAAACAATAGCCTGTTGCACATTCATACATCTCATACATGATGCAAAAATTCCATTCAAACAAAGAATTTTTGTCTGGTTAGTGTCAACTCCTTCGTCTTAATCCTAATGGCGTCTTCAGGGCTGAGCAAGGTGGGAAGAAGTTAGTTTCTTCTGATAATGGAGCAATAAATTATCTTTCTACTAAAGACGTAGGTGTCCCGTGTCTGCCATCTTGGTGCAAGTACCAAGATACCTCATTCCTTTCTTTAAAAAAATATCCATACATTACAAACATAGTTTCTATTTTAACATTACACTATAACCTAAAACTATATTTAACACACTACTTAAGAAAATTAATACAGCATAACTTTCTAACATAACATATATAATATTCATTTTAATATTTGTGAAAAGCTAATCATAAAATATGCGCTTTTCACACTGGGCCTGTGTGACACAGGACACCCCAAGAATCACACCATGGGCATGAGAGCATTGTCCAAACACTTCTGAATCCATCAGACCTGGTAATGTGACCACTTCCCTGGGGAGTCTGTTTCAGTGGCCAACTACCCTGTGGGCCAAAAACTTTTTCCTGATACCCAACCAAAACCTTCACTGACTTAACTTCATACTATTTACTCAAGTCCTGCCACTGGTCACCACAGAGGAGAGATCAGTGTCTCCCCTCCTTTTCCCTCACAAGGAAGTTGTAGGCTGCAATGAGGTCTCCCCTCAGTCTCTTCCAGACTCAACAATCCAAGCGATCCGAGCTACTCCTCATGTGACTTCTGCTCCAGACCCTCATCATGCTCATGGCCCTCCTTTGGATGCTCTACAACAGCTTAACGTCTGTCTTACATTGCGGTGCCCAAACTGTCCCCAGCACTCGACGTGAGGCTATACAAGTGCAACGTAGATCTGCAAGTATACATTAATAAAACCGAAAGAGAAACACAAAGACTGCTGTTATTCTGCAAAAGTTAACAACACGCCGTTTTGCCACACCTCCTCCTTAAAAAGGAAAAATTCTGAAAAGGAAACGGAAGCATCCCTCTCCCAGGAGGGAGTGTCCTAGACCCGCCCGCCGCGCCCCACGCTCTCAGGCGGCTCCCGGCGTGCTGCGCGCGTATGCGGCCATGTTGAGGGGCAATGTTCCACAGCAGCACGCAGCGCCGGCACTGGATCTTCCATGGCGAGGAGGAACTGGCGCGGCGCCGCGCTGAGGGGAACCGCCGGGCCCGAGCCAGGGCGGCGGCCAGCGGGAAGGTGCGCGGGGCCGCAGGGATTGCGGAGCGGGAGGGTGAGACTGCGGCGGACTCAGGCGCGGCTTTACTTTTCCCAAGGTGCCGCAGGGCGACCCGGTGCTGCTGGAGCCGCATGAGGAGCTGGCGCTATGCAAGTACTACGAGAAGAGGCTGCTGGACTTCTGCGCCGCATTCAAACCCGCGATGCCGCGGTCCGTTGTGGTAAGCGAGGCGAGAAGGAGCCGCCGCCTCGGCCCTCCTTATTCTTTCGCTTGCTGCCTGCTTGGCTTGTTCTTGAGAGCGCGGGTATCTTTAAATCTCTTTATCTCTTTTCTCTCTTCTGGCACTACAGTCTGTGGCCGCTTTTTGTCTTTTTTGTTTCGTTTTCTGACACGGGCAGCCATTTCAAAATCTGATGTTTTTCAACGTGATCTTTTGCTTAAACTTGCTTGAGTGGCTGAATTGTTCTGCTTCGCCTTAGGAGAGAGTAGGAGCAAAATAGTCGTAGATGGTTGATGGTAATGTTTGAGGATACAATGAAACAATCTCCCAGTCGCTAAAGGAGACAGTCCCAAATTTGGGTTGTCATTCAGTGTTTCTCCAGCATTAGTGCTTCTCTGAACACAAAATAGGCTGGATTATGTACTGGCAAAATATTGGCCTGTAAAGCAAAAATGAAATTACCTTGAAGTTATGTGCATTGAATTCAGAAGGGAGAAGTGGCGACGTAGAGCTGAAGAACGTAGTGAAATTGCGCCTCTCTCTCACTAAGACATTAAGATATATGATTTACATTGTCCCCTGTTAGTCCTCCCTTTTCCAAGCAGGTGTGGTGAAGAGTACCATGCTTAAGGGTGCCTTTGAAAGATGGCAGTTGCTGCCATTGCATGTTCTGTGAAGACAGACTGAATTAGTAGCTCCTGCAGAGTCTCATTTTGGGAAGCATCGGCTTTCATGCTGATAAACATGCTGCAAAATATACTGATGTAAAAAATCAAATAGCTTGAATTGCTTGCAACTTTCAGGATTATTTTTTTCAGCCTTTGATTTTTAAATTTAATTTTAATACCAAGTTCTTTTCATAAAGAGACTGTTGATTTTTTAAGCATTGTCTTCTAAAATATGTCTAAAAATAAAGAAAAATATTTTGTATTACAGTCGTAGTGTAAGGTTCTTGCGGGCAAAAATAAAGACTTTGAAATACTTAATGGCATATAATGGCTGTATGTGTCTTAGTGCCTCAGTGTATCCTGTGTGCCTTTAGTATATATCCAAATTTTCCTGTTTTGTGGGGTTTTTTTCTTTTTATGTACTTTTTTTCTTAATCCATTTTCATTTTTTCCCTCCCCATTTTTTTTTTCAATTTAGGGAACAGCTTGCATGTATTTCAAACGTTTTTACCTCAATAACTCAGTGATGGAGCATCATCCTCGGATAATAATGTGAGTTACCAGCACTTCTTGAATTACTCTGTCAAATGGGATATGAGAGGTATGATCTTTATATTTGTAAAGACCTTAAAAAAAACCCAAGAAAATGTGAGAGCTTAAGTAGGAGTAAAGACAAAATATGGTTAGTTTCACTGTCTTTTTCCTGTATTCAGAACATATTTAAAAATACACATTTTCAGAGCAGAACTTTCAATAGGAGAATGGATGCTGCATATGTCAATTGTTTGCTTTTTTGGTTTTTTCCCTCCTCAAGGCTAACATGCACATTTTTGGCCTGTAAAGTAGATGAATTTAATGTATCCAGTGCACAGTTTGTTGGTAACCTTCGAGAAAGTCCTGTTGGACAGGAAAAAGTTCTTGAACAAATACTGGAATATGAACTGCTACTTATTCAGCAACTGAACTTCCATCTCATCATTCACAATCCATACAGGCCATTTGAGGGATTTCTAATTGATATTAAGGTAATACTCTCTGATATGCTATATGCTCTGTGTAGTAAAGTAATACAAGTCTGTCATGCATTATCTTCAAGAAATTTATTTCCTTTTGTGCCTGTGATTTAAAATATCTAATTTCTATAGTGATAGACAGATACTTGAAAGATAATTGTTTTACTTGTGGTCTTTAAGTCATTTAGGATGTTCTTGGAATAAAAATATGGTCTGCTACTTTTTAGCTTTTTAAAATATTGTTGAATTGTGTCACGAACAGGAATGACAAACAGCTGCTTTTTTTCCTAAATTACTACTTTTTAGACTCGCTATCCAGTGCTGGAAAATCCTGAAGTTTTGAGGAAAACAGCTGATGACTTCCTTAACCGAGTGGCTCTGACAGATGCGTATCTGCTCTTTACTCCCTCACAGATTGCTCTCACTGCCATATTATCTAGTGGCTCAAGAGCAGGAATTAATATGGAAAGGTAGTATTTTCTGTCTTATATGTGTGCTTTAAACAATCAGTTTGCTTCTTGTATAAAATTGTTTTGCTCTAGACATTCTTAACTACTAGAATTGTGTATTTACTGATTGCTAGCACTTGGTCTGTTCTTTATGTTTTAGAATGGCAGTGATACTGTTCATTTTCACAAATAGGTGATGAAAGCAGTTAGTTGCTGTCTGGTTCTTATATTCCTTTGGAAGAAGTTAAAAAAAAAAACCCTGATGACTTTGCCTTAATTAGAACAGCACAGGATTTTCAGACTCAGTTTAAAGGTTACACAGGGAAGAAAGTGTGAAAATATGGTAGAAACTGAGAGTCAACTGAAATTACGCTGAACTGACAGCTAATGGGCATGCTGTATCATACTGTGTTTGGTTGCTGCAGCTGTTCGGTTTCCATGGATATGCACCAGGGCGAAGGTGTTGCTTTAAATCAATCTTTTCTTTCCCTTCTGTGTCCTTGCCACTGTTGTTTGCAGGGGTACTGTCAAACGCTGTCAAACACTTTGCTGTAGTTTGTTTGGTTTAGTTCTCCTACGGACAAAATATATGCTTTTCTTCAGATGAACAGCTGAGGTGTTTGCTGTAAGGAGCTGTACCTGGCATGTTTTAATATAATGCCACTGCCTGTGAGCATTTCACATCTGGAGTGTAACACCTGTTCTGAATCCAAAAAGTTCTTTTAAAATAAAATCTTCTGTCTCTTCTAAATGTATCTCAAATCTCTCTAGTTCTAAAATAAGGAGTATTGGGGGTATTCTTTAGAGGATTCACTGTCTTCTGAGAATTGTGTAAAAACATTCAGGTGCTTACTTTAACTTGAAACTTGATCTCATTCTTAGATCTGTATTCTGTAGTGCTCATGCCAAAATTCAGAAAACCATGCTTGCAAAAAGAAAGAAAATAATTTGTAGATAATGTGTGATTCAAGGTGTCTGAACTTTGTTGGCACATTCAGGAAGAATTCAAATCTTTGTAACCTGTCTGCCCTATACAGTTGTTATAACCTTGTCATTTACTGTTTGATGTGATTTTTTGCTGCCAGACATGAGAAAAGGTGATGGTGCAGCTGATGGTCTGTGGACCTGTGATCAGGTGCAGCTACAGAGGTGGTACAGAGCATGTGGGAATTGAAAACCTGTTGCTCTCATGGGGGAAGGGATATAACTCCTTGGTTGTTGTGGGTGTTGGTGAAGAGGACTGCTCATGTCTGTTTTATCCAGACAGTGTGCATTAGTGTTCTTACTAAAGAGAAGTTTGATCTCATTGGAAAGAGGAAGGGTCCCATAGGCTCATGCAAGACAGTGTTTAGTAATAGCTTTCCGCTGCCAAAAGAAGCAGGCCTCTCTTGCAGGCTCTGCTGTTGGTCAGTCTGAAAACCGCTATAGTATTTGCTTGCCCTGTGGGCATATTGTACAATAGCATGATGTTGTCATAAAGTCATAAACTTAATTTGACTTAGCTCTGTGAGGCTTACAAATACTTAGAAGGAAGATGGACACCTAATTTGGCAGTGTTATTTCTACATGACTGGGGGAATATTTTTGTCACCTTCTTAGTGACACATTAGCTTTTTCATCACTTTATAGCACTTAAGTAAACAAAGCATTCTTACTAATCTAATTATGAAGCTCTAGGAGATGTTAATTATAAATAATACACTTTTTACTAACTCACAAATGATTGCCATAAATTATTATGACACTTAAAAAATTTATTTTTCAATGTCTGTTTGCAGCTATTTATCAGAAAGTCTTACGCTGAAAGAGGACAGATCAATCTTATCCAGATTACTAGATGAAATGAAATGTAAGTAAACATTAGAAAAGTATATTAAAGAAATTCTCAAAACAAGGAAAAACCATATTTTTCCAAACTAAAAAAGCATTAGATAGAAAGGTCTGCTTCAAATGGTTCTCATCACCTTAAGGCATGCATAAGTAAACTGCAGACAGTAGAATGAACTACCAGCATATGAATGGAAGAGGAAAAAAGACTGAGACAAAATGAACAAATGAATTAAACAAATTAATATGGACAAATTAAATAAATTAACAGACAGGGGACCTGCCTGATATTTTCACAACGTAAGTGCTAGAGTCAGTTAAGTGCTAGCAGCTGATTCAAAAGTGAGAAATCTATTTTGAGAACTAGATAATGGTATTTGTAGGACAGAACTAAATTGCCTTTTTAAGTCACCATATCTTAAACATTACAGCTTCAGGCAAAGCCTGCATGTAATAACTACTACCACCAGAGGTGTGTTTTGTAAGCTAAATTACTAATGTGATATGCCAGTATTTATACTGCACATCTGTTTTGCAGCTATAAGATGTTTCAGAAGATGCTTAGTTTCACTAGTGTGAGAAATATCTTTGTGTGTGTGTATATTTTACAAATATTAAGGATACTACCTTGGTTCAGCTAAGCTAAAAGAGAGTGTAGTACCCTGATTACTACCTTTTTGTATTTAAATTAAAAGGCTGTGATACAAAATTCCCAGTAAGTAATCAGTTACTGAATGCATTAAACTAATGCATGCACTTCAAATGGGAGTGGTGGCATGAAACTAGGCTGACTGACATGAGGAGTGAATGCACCATACAAGTAACCAGGGTCTACAAATTCAATTTACCTTTAATTTATAAAATTTAAGATGTCCTTTACTTTCTGGTCTTCTAACAAATTGGGTCTTCAGATTTCCCTTGCTGACATGGAAGGGAATGCTGGGATCACTTACTCTTCACTTCTGTTATTGTAGATGGTAGCTTTAGCCCAAAAGCAGCTCTTCCATAAACATAAGATGGCTGGAAGGAAATTTTTCAAACATTTGTAAATTACTTCTACAGAGTACTGGTGGTAGAGAAAAAAAATCTTGTAAATTTAATTTGCATTATTAGAAAGACTGGAACTGTTTTTTTTTAGGACAGCAGGTACAATGTTGATTGCAAAAAATACCTGTGTATTTTGAAGCTTGTTAGCATAGTAGTGTGAACTCTGCCTCAAAGGAAATCTGGAGTCGGTAATGCTGGCGACTTGTTTCAGTGTAGTTACATTGAGGAGAGGAAGGATGAACTGTTGTCTCAAGTCTGCCTATGACATAAGCAGCACTCAGCCACACTGGAGACTGGATAGGATTGTGTGATTCACAAGTGCGGTGGGTTGACCCCAGCTCAATGCCAAGTGACCACCAAAGTTGCCAAGTGACCACCAAAGACCCTATCACTGACCTCCCTAGCTGGGCAGGGGAGAGAAAAGAAAATAAGTTCATGGGCTAAGATAAGAGCAGGGAGAGAGGTCACTTACCAGTTACTGTCATGGGCAAAACAGACACAAGTGGGGGAAATTAATTAATCACAAATCAAATAAGTGTAGGGTAATGAGAAGTGAAAACCACATCTTAAAAAGACCTTTTCCCCCACCCCTCCCTTCTTCCTGGATTCAATTTCACTCCCTCCAGTGCAGGGGGACTGTAGTCAGCTTACCATATGTTCCTGTTGCTCCTTCCTCCTCACATTCTTCCCCTGTCGCAGTGTGGAGTCACTCCCACAGAGATAGTCTTCTATAAATTTTTACAACCTGAGTCCTTCCCTCATGCTACAGTTCTTCATTAACTGCTCTAATGTGGGTCCATTACACAGGATGTAACCCTTCAGGAATAGGCTGCTTCAGTGCTGGTCTCCCAGGGGGTCACATGTCTGGCCAGCAAACCTTCTGTAATGTAGGTTTCCCTTCCCTACACAGTATGGTACATAGCATGGTATTCCCAGTGGGTCACAGCCTCCTTCATGCACATCTACCTGCTCCAAAGTAACTTCGTCTACAGGCTGCAGGTGTATCTGCATACTCCACACTCTGTTGACCTCCATGCATGGGCACCACTGCTTCACCATGGTCTGCATGAGCTGCAGGGGAATCTTGTTTCTAGGCCTGGAGCACTTCCTTCCTCATGTTTCTCCCTGACCCTGGTAGATGTAAGGTGTAGATGTTCTCATGTATTCTCATTCCTCTTTTCCAGCAGCCATTAGTGTTGCACCAGGATTTGGATTTTGCCCTTTAAATCTATTATCACAGATGTACATCCAGTGTCACTTAATAGGCTTGGCCTTGGCCAGTGGTGGATACATCTTAGAGCCATCTGGCATTGCCTCTGTTGTGCATGGGGGAAGCCTCTAGCAGCGCCTCACAGAAGCCACCCCTATAGGCCCCCCATTACCAACATCTTGCCATGCAGACCCAACAAAACACGGCAGAGCAGAAATTAGCTGTGCTTACAGCTGTGTTGTTGCCATTTTAGGCATGAAAAATCTCATTAAAAAATATGAACTGCCAAGGCCTGAAGAGATTGCTGCTCTAAAACAGAAGTTAGAGAAGTGTCACAGCTTGGACTTCTCATTTAATACAAACCCGTAAGTATATCTTGGATGTGTTAAACTTTCTCTTTTTTATTGGCATAGGAACATTAATGTTTTCTTAGCTATGTGAGTGATTGAAAATAAAAACCCTTAAATGTGCACACAGTGTTTACCTGCTTGCTATATCTACTGGAAGCTGAGATTGAAGATTCAAAGTAGTGCTTTCAGTAATAAACAAGTTCTTTTGTGCTGATCTGCATAGCAAGCTGATTATTTTGTAACGCAGAACTGGAATACTGTGTGGCTTCTAAGGTGTGACCACTTGATGTATGTGATGAGAACTAAGGACTTTAAAATTAGGTGATTAAAACAAGAATGTTGTAAAGGCTTAATGTTTTCTTAAGAATTTTGTGGATGGCAAAGGATTGCACTCTGAACTTCCAGTAAGCTGCATGTCAAGGCTCTGATATTTTTTATGGAATAGGTATGTCCATATTGTAATCCTGAGGTCAAATAATGAGAATCTTAACTTAAAAAAATACCTAAGCATTTCACTTTTCTTCTGGGTTAGGAAGAAGAGGAAAGGTTATGAAGATGATGAATATGTCACAAAGAAATGTAAAATGGATGAGGTTAGTAAACCTATTGTACAAGTTTTTCCTGTTTTTTTTCACTCTTAATGCCAAGACAAAAGTGACACAGCTACTGAGATAAATTTATGCATCTGTAACATAATTTTACTTGTTGCTCAGACTAAACCTTTTTCAACTTTTTTTTTCACTTTAAATGAGCCAGATTTCATACCTGACTGTGCTTGGAAGTGTTCTTGAACACCCCTGGCTTTTGTGGAAAGAGGAATGAACATGCAGACCATGCTTCCTGCTGTTTATTGTGCTTTGGAAGTTTTTATTTACTTTATTTGGTTTCTTCACTGCTCAAAGCAGTGTAAAGTTGAACTAAATTTATGTCAGACAATTTGTCAACAAGGCTGTCTGAATTACAGATGGGTTGCTCGTACTTTGTGTTCTAAGACCAGGTATAAATAAGGTGAGATAAACTGACAAGCATGACTCAACCAGTACAAACAGTATTAAGGTTGTCCTTCATATCTGAGATGAACACCTTCCAGAGCTTTTGTCTGGACAATGGACAGGAAATTGGAGAGAGTCCATGCTGGCAGAGGTGCAGAACCCTTTTTAAATGGACTCATTTTGATACTAAAGATGCTGGATACTGATCGTCTAAGACACACTAAGTATGGCATTTAGAAAAACGTGCTAACATCTAAAGAGGGTCACCTACCAAAATCTGAAGATAAAAGACAAGATTTATGTCTTGCTATTGGAGATTATCACAGTAGGTTGATAGTATAGTGTCAAATTAGACTCTAAAACATTATTAAAACAAGATTATAATAAAATTGGCAGTGAAGGTATATTCTAACAAAATGTGGGACCTTGAATTTCTTTTATAATTTTATTCCTGCAAAAACTTTTAATAAGTTTTCATTCCAAATGCCAGTCTTCAAAAGCGTAATAAAACTGGCAACTCCATAAAACAGGCTCTTGGAAAACTTTTTAACTTTATGACAAAATGACTTAGCTGACATTAGACTGTAATCTGCAAAGCTATGAAAAGCACAGGACATTGGTAGAAGGTGCAATATGAGCTGGTTTTGAAATCTCTACATAGTTATCCAATATAAAGCTCATGCTTCTTTATCTCAGGAGCTGAAAAGGGGCTGCCAACATGACTCTGTGTCCAGGACTGTAAGCATAGGTATGGATAATGTAGCTTTAAGGTTAAAGGCCTAACTTGCCCCAAGTTAAAATATTTTTTTAGTCTTCTGTTCATGGAATTTCTCTGTAAGTTCTTAAATCCAGACCATAAGGAGCACACCGCCACACAGAGCTGTTACATAAGGTGCTGTATTTTTTCCTTCTATTAGGAAGAGTGGACTGATGATGATCTTGTGGATTCAGCATTACTTTGAAGGAAGATGGACTCCTACCACTGCAGGAACTACCCTGTGGTGTCAGGTGTGACTGCCTGCCACAGGCTCCTTATTATGTGTCATAAGGTCTTTGTGCTGTTAGCTACCTTGGCACTAAAGCCTTTTACTTTCCTAAAATAAAAAGTTGTAGTTCCATTAAACCCTCATCCATTACAGGTCTAACACTAGCAAGATTTGCTTTGAGAAATCTCACCCTTGTTTTTGGTTCAGAAACAGTTTGCTGTGTCTGCAATGTAGTGTTATAAGCACCAGCTGATTTATTTTTTATACACCCAGTTAAGAGTTCTACAATATGCACACCTACATGCAGCTTTGGGTTTCATTTCAGCCCCGTTTCATTCCCTTTGCTGCATTTTGTGTGTAACAGGTAAATTAGGTAGGCAGCTCTGTCTTCCAGTTTGTAGTTACCATGTTATATTGCCTGTACCATAGCAACCAAATCCACAAAATAATCCCTTTTACACACTCTGTCCAAGATTTAAGTAGGACACACTGAAAGGTAAATTACTTACTCGTCTGAGATGCAGTTTAACATAGACTTGATATGGTTATGGGACAATCTAAGAAAAAGACTTCTCTAGTAACAAGGTGTTGCAAACACATGTATTGTCACTAGGGAAGGGCATCACGTGTGTCTGTCTGCCCAGTGCCATACATATGATATTTAGGAGCTTTCACCTTCAAGAAGCTGTTCCAGCTGGAGACCAGGGCAACACAGGGAGAGCCACTTTAATATTACAGCAAAGGTGCAAAAGCAAAGTCTCTGATTTTATGTGACAGAGATTTGGCAGTTCTGGTCGACAGGAAGAACACTCTAGGTGTTGTAAAGGTTTGCAACAGTGTTTGTATGATAAAATTATTCAAGCAGTTATCTCAGTCTTGTCAGTGAATCCTTTTATTCCCTATTATATCACTGCCTAGAACAGAAGACACAGTGATGATGAAGTACTCTTTAAATCAACAGCACATTTTACTCCTCAATTTTTTAACCGTTTATAGCAGTGCAATGGGCAGGAACACCTTCCACTAGACAAGTTTGCTCCAAGCCTCATCCAACGCCACCTTCAACACTTCTTGGGATTGGGGCTTCTCTGGCATTCTGCCAGTGCCTCACCCCACTCACAGGGAAGAATTCCCTTTTACTAAATCTCAACCTATGTATGGAGTTTTAGCATCTGCTTTCTCACCCACTGCTGTACAAATTAAGGCATAAGGAGAAGGTAATGCTGTCTGAGGACTCATGCTCAAAAAGTGACACATTGTAACCACTGCAAAGTATGCCACATTGCAGACACTAAAAAATTTCCACAGTAGCCATTCAGCTAGTTTCCATAGAGTTAGAAATATGTAGCTTGATTTATTTTAAAAACTTACTTTTCACTTACAAAAATATTTATGCTAGACTTACAAAAAGACCAAACAATACCTATTTTATAAAATGGTTTAATGAATGCATGCATGTCTGATATAATCAATAAATTTACTGAATTCAAATTATTTACTGTTGTAAACGTTTTACAAAAGCATTGTGATTTATCTGGATATACAGTTCTTGATGGAAAAACTATTCCGACTGAATCAGTGGCACATCAGAAAAATAAAGCTGACAAGATCCATTCTGGATATTCTCTTTCAACATCATTCCAGCAAGAGAAACAGCATGGTATAAAACGTGTACAGTAAAGGTTGTTCCTACCATAACATCAAATTCTGGAAAAAGTAAATAAAAGTTAAAAGTGGTTGAAACAGTCAAAAGTCATAGTTATTGTAACCAGTCAGAAATTACAGTAAGAAATGTTATCCAGTTAGTTATAGGTGGTTGTCAGAACAACGCCTTTCTTCTCATGTCAGTTGATAATTCTTTTCCAATCAGACAGCAAAAACTTTGGCAATCAGAGGTGCTGAAAATTTCGAAGTCCTAGACACAGTCACAGCATTTTCTCTCAGAAGGTGAACTGTACACGAAGGCTCAGAGGTTGTGAAATTTCATTGTTTCCAAGTGGAAAAAAAAAAAGTGCATATGTCCTGCACAGATAGCTTAAAAAAAGCTGCTGGTACAATCATTCACCAACAGGACCTTTGTTTTCTTTTGCATAGTTCACACATCACTGGGAATGTGACAGGGTGTGCTATTTTTGGCAAGAGCAAGAAGGAAGTGATACTGGTGAGAGTTGCCATGTTGGGTGTGCTGGATCCATGCAGAATTCAGGTAGAGAGCTGCTACCTGATGTTGTTAGACACTGAATACTGATTTTGTTTTTGTTGTAGCAGTTCAGTAATGGCCAAAAGCTTCTTAAGAACGTGCTGTAAAAGAGAGTTGAGTCAATAAAACTACATGCTAGCTACTGAAGAGAGAAAAGGCCTCCCTGAGCAGCATTTTCAGCATCAGCCTATCAGACCTATCACTTGAAGTTGAAATATATTACTAAAAAGAGAAAATGTCTGATTCCCTAGCCATTAAGGGTAGTCTTAAAACAATGTTATGGACTTTGCCTGTCCTCCCATGGATCTTTTTGCTTCTTTGTTATTAAGAGGAAGGCAGAGGAAGTATACAGCTAACACACTGTTAAAATTAACCACCAGAGTTTTCCAAGCATACAAGTGTACTGGCAAACTAGTAAGCAGAAATGAGGTATTAATAGAAAGCTAAAGAAAATGATTTTTGGTTCTCAACTGGAAAAAAATCCAAATCTGAAAACTAAGACCCAGAGAATCTGTCAGGGGACAGTAATTTTATGGGTTTAAAGCTTCCTCTAGAAACTTAAAAAACCACCCCAAACCTAGTTGGTTTTGTTGCATGGGGGAGCAAAATTATGGATTAAGCATTTCCTTCACAGCTAATAACCCTCTGGTGAAATACATCAGTCATACTGCTACAGAAATACCACAAAAGAATCCCTCCCTATTGAGGAGTAATTCAGGACAAGCATCCCATACCTGTGATTGTGTTAACTCACCTGCATCACCCCTCGCTCGTTGCTGAGCGTCCGGAGCTCATCCGAGTGTGCCACACAGATCTCATGCAAAGCTGCCAGGTCACGGGAGAGGTCAGTTCGAGAGTGCTCTGCAGTGTCTGGAAGCTCAGGAACATTCTTCAACAAAGTAGAAGACAGAGATTTAGGGTGCCAAGACCAATTACGGTCTTTCCAGCTAAACCCCCAGTCCACCTTTCTGTTATTAATTATCTGTTTTTCTCCCCTTCACAGGCATGTGTTTTGTGATGGTACTGCAATTTGTAGTGCTGGAAGGATTCTTACTACAAGACCTGGTATTGCTCTGCCTTTGAGCTGACCAGAAACCTACAGCATTCCAAGACTCGAACCCTCTAAATGAAGGGAAGAGCCATCCATTAGGAGCTTTTTTTTTTAATCTAAATGAGAGAAAATCAACAAAATTCAGCAAAATCTGCTATTACCTATCAAGTTACTCATTAAACTGATGATAAATCAATAATGCTGCAATTAAAACAGCAGAATAATCCAACACGTATTTTCAAACCAACAGTTAGCCAAAACCTCATGTAAAACCTGTCATTTAAAGAAATCTGATGTATCATAATACACAGAAGTTGCTATTTAATCAGAAAAGGATGACATCTGGAACCTACCCAAATGCCACACTTTTTAAGTATTCTGAGATGTCTTCTAGGGTGTTTCTAAAAGATTAATTCAGGATGCTTACCATATTTTTTTCATCTCACTTCTAAAAATTAATTATTTCATTTAAAATACATATATATAAAACATGAGAACCTAATTCCTGTTACAACAATCACACCCACAAAATAGTCACGTGTTACAAGGATACAATGACAGCATTTCACTTTCAAACTACAATATGTAGAATGCACACAGTGAAGCTTTTGCCAGTGCTAACTGAAATTCATGCTAGTATTACTTCTTTAAAGAAAAATTACTTTCAATATCTGATCAAAACCATGTAATAAGTTATATATAAAAACTTCTGGTTTAAAAACTTGTTTGTGAAATGTTTGTATTTTTTACCCAATATTTCTAATCTCATACCTATAGAATCTCTTTCAGCTTCTCACATTTACAGAGGCACTAAATTAATAAAGTCGTAAGAAGATAATTGATGGTTTTAACTCCATATGACAGACCAGTAATTTTTAAATAAGTATTTAAAAATGTACTCAGCTAAAAGCATTCAAAATTATGTGGCAGCTGATTCATTGCTGACCTAGTTAATAAGAGGTGTAAAAAATTTTAATTTACAATTCTGCCATGTAACTTCAGCAAATATTTTTTAAGCACTTACCCCAAGCTCATCCAAAAACATGATCATGCGATGTTTGTTGCTCTTGATGAATGGATTTACTCCTTCCATATATGGCTCCTAATAATTTTTAAAAGTATTCATTAACAAATCATTGCCAAGATAATTGTCACATCTGAGGTGAACACAATGCAGTCAGGCAAATAACACTGCAAAACAAGTATGTAAATGGAAGTAATACTCTTTTTTTCAAGTGCACTTCTAATGTCTGGTGTGCAGGCAGTCAAAAGACTGCAGAATTTGGTTTACTTTTATTCAGAAGATAGCCTATGATTCAGGATTTTTCTTACACATGCATACAGATACAAATTTGCATCAAGGCAAGCGTCTCTAAATACCTGCGGGCAGTGAACAGATGCTCTGTGTTCAGAGGTATCATCAGAAACAAGTGCCTTCTTTCCTGTTTTGTCATTAACTCTTACATTCAAAGTTCTGTGTGTCAGAGAAACAACCTTCTCACATCAGCCTGAAGGCATGTTAATTATGCTTAAATCAACAGATGTATTTTTAGCAATGTTTCAGCCTGGAAATTGAGACCAGTCACTGCTGGCATTCTCTTCGTGTTTTAATAGAAACTTTATTGAAAGCTTGGGCTTATTAGTGCAATAAGTAACACCTGACTTACTGCTTTCATTATGTCTAACAGTATGACAGTACAAACAAGAGAGCTTTGAAGTGCTCTACCACAGAAAACACCAATCTAACAAGTGATAAATGCAAGGGTCAAAGTGGAGGAAGAGAAAGTCATAGGTTCTGCATGAGAAAATACCCAACACATTTTTTGCATGCATTGAACAGGAACATATGAAAGGTGTACTGGAAGCACAGTTCTCTGTAGGTTGTTCTCTGTATGTAGAATTATATTCACCTTAGCTCCAAATTCAACCAGATTTGCTAAATTCTGCACAGACTTGGCGACCAGCGTCAGTGTTCTTGCAGCAGTGGCGGAAGGAGAATCTGGCAGGAATGCAAAGTAGAGAGTCACTGGCCATTACATTTAAAATTAACAGCAGTCACATGAAAATAAATCCTTTTCCCATTCACATTTTATTGATTTTTTAAATATAAAACAACTGCATGTGAAAGATGTCACTTCATAAAGTAAAATATATTGCTTTTGTAAATGCCAAAAGCCATATTAATTCTGATTATCTTATTTTCTGTAAAAGTAGCACACAGAACAAGACAACAAAATAAGTAAGTGTTACTAGGAGTTAGGTGAAATGTAATAATTTGCTCAAAACTTGAGGATTTTTGTTGAAACGAAGATTACTTGTTAAAACATTTTACCTTTGAAATGAAAGAAAAAAAAAAAGAAAGTTTACCTGCTTATACCCACATAAGTGGGCACTGACAAGTTATTTAAGTTACTGGCAGCAGGAAAACAAAGTGAATGTTACATGCAACCATAGCCCGTATTTCCATGAAACTCCAGTCTGTAATGATTGTGACTATAAACACTTCACATTAATCACTGAAGTCAGTTAGAACTTCCTTTTTCGAGGAAAAGTGATGTTACCTAGAAAATTACTTTTCTCTCCAGTTAAAGTAAATTACCTGGTTGAAAACATTCCACTGACAGGGTTTTAGGGTTATATAGTCTGTAAGTTTCCCTTAACAGTAGTCAAGAATACTAGTTTGAGGTAACTCAGCAGGATTGTAATGGACAAACTCAAAAGGCATTACTCAAATTTTTAAGTAGATTTTTACACCTGCAGTCACAGTGCAACCCAAGTTAGGAGGGTACCTAACTTGCAAAGTACCCAAAGATAATAAAATGCCAAAGAAATTATCACTTGGTTTCAGGCAATGTTTCTCAAATGCTTTCTCCAAAACATGTACAGAAATTATTACTGAGTGAGAGAAAGGAACTTTGACACAGTCCTTCTCATTTAGTAGTTTAAAGACTGAAGACAGAAAACAAGCTACATTGTCTTAAAAACTGTCTTTGAATAGCAAAAAAAGCTCTTCTGAACCAGATTTTTTAATTTTCTCCTACATTTCCTATTTTTCAGCCTTTCTGAACCATCCCTCTCTCATCTTTAAGATTCTATATCTAAGATCAACTGTATTTAATAAGTCAAAACAGAGCTCTTAATAGCTGGAAGCCATCTAAGCAGGACATTCAAACAAATTGTTAAGAAAAATTTTCTAGGTGCACAGATGTATTCCAAGCTCTGCAGACACCCATACCAACTTTATAAATCTTGTACATTTCAGAGATACCACTGCATTCAGCTATTAACTCTGGCATTGCACTGTATTCTGCAATGAAAGTGATGTCTGAAGATCCCATAATTACATTTTTCACAGTCCTAAAATACATTAAACAATGCTAGACTTGACTCAAAATGTTATTATTAGATATCACAATCAATGTTTTTTTTGACTTTAAAATTATATTGGGGATATCCACAATCAAGCTGTTGGGGGTAAAAAGCATATACCCGAAGAAGAAGTTAGCCAAATGACATGGATGACTTGAAACACAGCATTCAAAAAAACTTCCTATTTTGCTACATTAAATACTATAGTGATTTCATGTCTCCTGCTGCATAAAGTATAGATTTGATCTGAAGCACATAGTCACCTGAGATGATATTAAACATCCTTGGGTTCAGGATAGCAGGACAAATCAGTCGAAGAAAAACAAAGCCACTGAAATGAAATAAAATTGTATTTTGTTCAAAACCATTAGAAAATGCAAGTAAAATTGTGTAGTCTTTCAGCAATAAAGTTAATGTGGGATCTTGTTGAGACAAACACCAAGAAACTGGCCTGTGCTCTGTAAAAATATAAATCAAGATCATCATGCTACGATTCTATGAACTGTAATGAAATCTGAAAGGAGAGGCACATTGATTTCCCAATAAAGGTGAACAAACTGTTGAAATCATGTAGGAAGAAATTAATTGCCAAGTAATAAGTCCATCCCAGACCATGCTTGTCTCAAAAAGGAGCCACCCTTGGTCTCTGACCTCCCAAAAATTTCTCCACTGTCTGCTACTGCAAGTCATCCATCTCACAGCCAGCCACTTCCCCAAGCCACTCTAAGCTGGAGCACAGGAGTGGATGAGCAAAAAGATCTCTCTTGGTAGAACACACCTTTAAGTCAGCTTCAGCCTATCCATTATCCTGATGATCTACACTTCAGTAGAAAAATGAAGGATCTGCTGCTTTCCACCATGAAAGAACTGCTGCCATTTTAAAAACTGGGTAAAGAGTGCTCTGTTCTGACTGCAGAACTAGGAATTAATTCAACAGGAACTCAGAACAGGCTTCAGCAGCATGAGAAAAATCTATTTTTCTGTTAATACCAGACGTAAAAATCATCACTCAGGTTAACTTCAACTCCAGCTAATTGCTGTATAATGAAGTGAAATACAGACCAATCTCAAATATCTGTAATTTTGTCCTTGGACAACACCAGTAGGCTGGATTTCACCACAGCAATACCAGAGCCTGATTTGTAATAAAAGGAGGAAGGGAACCTTGCCTGTTGTAAAGTACACAGTTAGGGAAATGTCCACATTTCTTTAAAGTGACAAATAGTAATGAGGTTGATCCACCTTCTGTAAGTCCAAGATATCTAGTATGCTGTTATACAATTCTATCTTATTTCTAAGAAACACAAGTTATGGGCTGGTAAGAAAACAGTCCTTGGTCAGAGGTTAAGCTAAAATACTTTTTGTGGTGAGAATTCAAAGCTACAGGTCAGTCATTAATTTTGAAGTTTTGGCACATACACCAGTCACTCTTTTAAAAGTGTCCAAATTCAAAGGCCAACAAGGTACACATCTAGCAGAGACCCTGCTGGTAGAGAAGATCTGATATTCCTTACCTTTGTCAACCTGCCTAAACTAGGAATGAGCAAATATCTATATGGGAGGTTCAAACCAGAGAGAAATGGTAGCATATTATGACTGATACAATAGAGAAGATACACAGATGTCAAAAACTGCCCATGTGGCTCTGAATACTGAATCATTCTTAAACCAAAAATAGCACAATGGAAGGTAATAAACATCACTGAAGGCTGTGAAACTGCACTCCAAAGAGAAATCTCTAGTATCCACTTGTGAAAATGGAACACCACAAAAGCAAGTGATAAAATATTTTTAGCATCCAGTGGAGACACTGGGAATACTCTGAAAGTGAGCTGTGTGTTCACTACGGAAAGCCACATGGTCCTCTTTGGAGCTGGGGAGGAACAGCCAGAGATTGGAGCTGGGGAGGAACAGCCAGAGATATGGAATTCACTACTAACCTTTACAGCCTTCCAGCAGCTTAGCCCCTCAGAGTAAAAGGAGCTCTCAAGTCGGAGCAATCTCCATTTGAAGGCAATGCTGCATCACAGTATGAAACACATAAGGCTTCTGGTGTCAAAATGATAAATACAAGCCAAAGACAAATACTCTGAAAGATCCTCCATGGGAGATTAACCTCTGCTAACCATACAACTGCCTGACACCACAAAAAGGAAAGCTGAGGCTCTGAATCACTCAAAATCCCTGCCACATTTAGAAAAAGTGTCAAGATCACAGCTTTGCCAAATGTTTTTGTCTGACCTGCCCTGGCAATGAACAGAGAGATAGTTTTGTATTGTGCTGGTCTAATAATGTAGGTTGGAGTTTTGGTGGCTGGTGTGAGTTCAGAAGAGCCAAGTTCTGTAACCTCCAGCAGCACTTTCAGAGGAGCTCCAGATTATTTAAACGTAATTGGGCTGCAGTATTGTAAATTCAAAGTTAGAACCATTAAGTAAAGCTATACTGACCTCTACACTACATCATTTTATTCTCACAAGGCTCTTAAGAACAAGATCAAGAATCCAGCAAGCTCAGTCTTTAACTGGGACATTGTGCGTCATCATCATAAATATCTTAAAACACTGCAGCAACCTGTATAAGTTCACACAGTTTTGTCACTGAAAGAAACATAGACAAGCACACTGAAGTATGTCTCCAACAAGGCTTCAAAGAAACATTTCCAGAATAAGGTTGACAAGTAACTTACCTAACAACCCTGGTTCTCATGGTAGTATTAGCTGGCCATTTGTTTTGAACAGACTTCTGTAGGCAACCATAAATATATCTCAATGTCCTGCAGAAATAGTAGCCAATTACTCATTCCATTAAACTTAAAGAATCAAAAAAGCTGGTCAGAAGGGACCTAGATCAACCTCCTACTTGATGCAGAACTATTATCAACTTTATATTAATAACTTAGACAAATCTTTAAATTATCAATTAACTCTTAGTTAAAGTCAACAAATTTATAAGAATTCTATTTTAAAATAAGTTGTTTTAAAAAGTAAATTTACAAATTACAAAGCAAAACTAATCTGTGCAATTCTGTGATCATTCAGATGTGCATTAAATATTTTTAACTGTTTACTTAAGTAGTATTCCCTTTTTGAAAAAAGACCACTTTGATGGTTGATTTTTCTTTGTGTTTTTTAACTCAACAAAAGCTTTCTTTCCATACATGACACACACAAAAAAAAAGTGAAAAAAGTCAAAAAAGAAAGTTAAGCACCACAGCAACAGTTCTCTCCCATTAAAAAAAATATAAATAAAAGGACATTTGTGGTGTATTGCAGAAAATGTTGATCACTGCATCATATACTTAAAAGGACTGCAATTTTCAATGCTAACCTTGCCAGCACTAACACAAAAGAAAATTCCATGCTACTCCAGTGACTGAAAATTGAGGGTTTCATATACTTTAAAAGCTATGAAAGGAAACTCTATACTATCCACTTATTATTAGATTATTCAAATCTGAGGTATGAAAACAAGTTACTTTATCAATTAAAAGAAGCAGGGAAAAAAATAGCCTCTGCATTTCCCTAGCAGACAAAACCAGGCATAGAATGGTATCACTATTACTACCTATCTGTATTTTTAATATGCTGTTAATAATTCCATGTCTTTCTCAGAGGAGAAAGACTGACAAATACACGTCATTGTCTGCTAACTACCATTGACTTCTACCTTTTTGCAAAAATATGAGATTAATTATTTTATTACTATTTTGTCCCTGATCTCAAGTCTAGTAGCTTCTCCTTTAAAAGAAAACCAAATGTGCCAGCCAGAGGCTTTTGTAAAACACTATTAAGATAAATTGCCAGAAGTGTTATTTTCCCCCTATCTATTTTTCTGTGTCTATACAGCAACACTAAGATAAATCACTAAGAACATAATTTTAATGTGCAGTGTTATTCATGGAAACACAAATTTTCAAATACAAATCAGAACAGAAAAGTGCAAACTTACGGGGGCAGTATCTCTGCAGCCATGAATATCTTCTCCACCAATTCTGAAAGTATACTGAGTAGATGTGCCAAGTTAGTGTTTACATCTTCATTTTTTTCTAACTTCGAGGGATTTAACTAAAACAAAAAAAGAATATGTTTATTCTTCCATCTAGAACTACATCTATATATATAGTTTCTGAATATTACACACTGAGTACTGTTTCAAAGCAAATGAAATATTCTGGTGCTGTACAAGTCTCTTACAGAACTCAGTCATGTTTCAGTAACTTGTCAGAGAACACGAAGCAACAGTTTTAAGTTCTAATATACATATGTGGCTTTTATCAGCTTGGATATTCACCATTTTTTCATCCGAGTGACTTTTTGTCTCTCTCAATCCAGATTTCTGGTGACTCCCATCTTTTCCACAATGAAGTTAAAGTGAAACACAGGAGTTACGAGGGTAATTTTAGAAAGAGTACCAAGATCAGTAACAACCATTTAATATGGAATTTTACAATTAAAACAGAAGTTCAGATCTTGATTTCTACAATATTTTGAGCTCAACAAGTTACCTAGATTAGGACACTCAGTAAGAGCTGCAGAATGCCTGTTAAATAATTTAAAAAAACTTGATTATAAAACTTAGTAAGTTCCACTATGAATAATGTTTGAAGCCAAAATCCAGGAAAAAATATAAAAACATCTCTTAATGAATTCAGTTCCTGTATTTCTGATGTAAAAATGTCTCATTCTAAAAAATTATTAAATATCTCTACAACTAATATTTAATGTAAACATAACAGCTGAAAACCAATGGATTACTGTGTCAACAAAAGAAAATGTTTAAAAACACAGTTTAAGGTATCACCTCACAGGACTGCTTGCTCTCCATGATCTTTAATATGGAGTCTTTCAGCGCATGATGAACAAAACTTGTTGCTGTGGCTTTCATATACTGCTCCATAAGTGTGCTTGCTAAAGTGGTGGCACGGAACAAGGTAGTAGCTTCATCTGAAAAAAGAAATTGGAAAGAGAAAAACTGAAAAAAGGAGACATGAAAAAGAGAGGAAGAACATGGTTACTCTGTAACATAAGCTGCAACTAAAGGAGGAGAAAAAAAAGATAGCACCAGAACCATTTTCTCCCCACCTGTCCAGAATTCCAGTAAACTTTTGTGGGATTTAGTGCAGTACCTTCCATACTTATCTCCCTGTCATTTAGTGTTCGTAACAACAAGGACTCAAGCTTTTCGTGGAGAAAAATCTTCAGTAAAATGCCAGCCAACAGTGTCCTATCCTGTCCACAAACATGTGATAAGGCATAGACCACATGAAGTTCTTTCTGGAGTATAAGCTGAAAGAAAAACAATTTTAAAATATTCAGAGCTTCTCCTTCCATATAACAGTATAACAGTTTTGGAAAAAAATTGTGTTTTATATTTATTTATTTATTTGTAGCTGTTACTTAGAAATATTATTTGATTTACATCAACCAGTGTTACTGAGATCCCTCTCAACCAAGGAAAAGTATTCGTTTTGACAGATAAACAATGGATGGTTAAGTTCATACCTCTTTAAACTCGTTGTACTCTTCTTCTGGCATGATCTTCTCCATGGAATACCGCGCTCGAACACGCAAAGATCCTGGCTCAATACCCTTTAATGGTACATAGGAACTGAGCTGAAACCACTCATCTGTTGCATGTCCTTTTTGTAATCGGCTTAATTGGCAACGCATAAACACTTAAAAGAAAAAAAGCGTTGTTCAGGTATACGTTATCTCCACCAAAACGATACTACTATTAAATTAAAAAACAGTTTTATTTTCAACATATCATCTTATTTTAGGGAAAAAAATACCACCAAGAGTAAACAAAAAGTTTTTTATCAATATATGAATGGATTAATTCTCTCTTCAGTGGCCTAACAGTGTCCTGTAAACTGAAGAAGAAATATATGGCAATCTGTAAAAAATGTATAAATTCAAAAACGCCACATGAATATTGACATAGCTTTCCTTGTAACACCCAAGTAGGATGCAAATCCAGGTAGCAGTCAGAAACTAAAATACAGGTTAAATCTTTAGAGTTCACTACTCCCTTTCCAGCCTTGCACTACTACTCCCTTTCCAGCCTTGCCTTCCACCCTGACACTACCATCAGGGTCTGCTCCTATTTGTTATTAAGAGTGCTCCTACAGTATTCCCAAACACTGACATATGTATTACTTTTATAATAATTCCAGTCTAAGTAACAGTTTATCCGTATTAGGTTAAAAAGTGTTCCCAAGCACTTGCTAACTAGATAATGAAAGTCAACCCAAGAATAGCCAAATCATTAACTGGTGATGATGGTATGCTAAAACTGCCAAGCAATGACTTGCACTGCAGCTGAAGTCTGGTGCAGCAGCTGGGAGGGAACGCAGGCCCATCCAGAGTAGGAACATGTGCTCCCAAGTGGAGGGGTTTTTTTCCTCAAAGAAAGGCCCAGGACCTTCAGAGACAACGTTGTGTCTGTCAAATACGCACCATGCTCCAAGAGGAGTCCGCAATTAGTTTTATATTTAGCCTATCAGACTGCACCTCTCAGTCAAACACCCTCTCTTTCAATGAGAAAGATATTTGCTTTTACGTTCCTCACGTGAAAAAACAAGGAAGTCCATAAAACCAAGAGCTTATTTTTTTTATATTTCTGCAAAGCCAGTACACCAATCTGCCTTGCAGAAATTGTAAACAGTTCCAGCAGATTTCACATTGCCCCAGTGCTGCAATACATAGCAGGATACAATTTAACACTGGAACAGAAGAAGATCATATTTATAGTGCCTCATTCAGGACAATTCTGCTGCCTACTTCATATTCTTTGGAGCTGATGAACTGGTAAGTTAATGCATTTATATCAGTCAACACGAAAAACCACCTGCTACTTATCACCAGTGTGGATGGAATGTCATTAGACTATGTAATAAATTTACTTTCTTAGCATACTTCTCTCTGGTATCAAAGCTCAGTTTCCACAACTAAGCAATGTTCTTATTTGCTTGCACATATAAGACACATGTACTACAGTGAGAGGAATGGGGAATGAACTACCAGAATAAACTCATTATTTTGTTTTTTTTCTGTGGTCATTGTAGCACTTCATAGCTATAAAATAAATAATATGACTTTACTTTGATTTTTAAAAAAATCATACCAAATACCTGTACAAGGACTGCAGAATAGTTATCATAATTTATATTAAATTACTTTAGAGTAGTAAGACTTTTTTCCTGTTTATAATGTTACATTGAATTGGTAGGCTCCTTTCAGCAAGAGACTTCTACTCAACATTAATTAATTTGAAATTAACCACCGTAGTGCAAAACCAAACCAGAGTCTCCACTCCAGTTCAGCACTTTATAGTGTTGTCCTTCAGCACCTACTAATTCAACTATCAATAGCAGCACATGGAAGTCTACTAATAAATTCTAGGACTTTAGATTTTTCAAGCCATATCATATATTTATTTGAATAAGTCCTTAAGCAATTTACAGTTAGAGAAACAAAAAAAAAAGTTAATATAATTAATGCAATTTATGCTGAACTGTTTAGTATCATTTCTGACTATCTGGAATGCTTAAAAAACTCTGAAGTAACATTTGTAATAGACAAACTTCAATGTAAAGACTTGAAAACTCAGGAAATATTTTAAAATACTGAAAAGGTAGCCTTCATTAATGTATTACTTTGGTATTTAGGTTTTGTGTGTTACAATGAAAGAACAAAGCAGTGAATCCAACAATTACATTTTGGACCTTTAATCTGCATTACATGGAAGGAAAAGCAAGCAGAAAAGGTGAGTTAACCCAATTAAAAACTGGCAAGATGAATAGCATCAGCTGTACAGGACTGCCACTTCATAGCATTCCACAGGTAACATCTGTGGCTGAAAAGGAAAGGAAAGATGATTGGTTAAGGAAAGGAACCAGTTATCTTGCTTTTGAAGAGTTACAGGTTTATTCTGGCAGTGCAACACAATGTATGTCAGAGAAGATGTGGTTTAACTCATTTTACCCCAATGAACTTCACATACTTCATAGGGCTCGGAACATAAGTAAGGAGTATGTTCATTCAAGTTGACTTAGCGTAATCTTTATCTAAAAATGAAAGAGTTATGCTGGATTATGCTTATGCTGTAGGAGTGTAGGTAACTGCAGTAAAGAAATTCAGCCAATCCTGCCACTGACCTAGAACAGGAAGCTTTCCATCATCACCTGAATACACAAAACTAACAGCATCTCCTTAATCTGGACAGAGAGGAGTAAAATACAAAAATACTTTCAAAGAAACTACTGAAGTATCCCTCTCAAGAATTACCATTTTAAGATTCTTTTCCTAACCAAGGCTTTGGTGTAGAGACATAATCAGTTTTCCAGATCAAATGAATTTACGACGAAGTTCACAACGGCATTTTTACCCCTTAGTCTGTCAGAGACAATGTATCTTTATTCCTCCTGCTATGCAGAAATTTTTCTAGTGAGAGAAGGATAAAGAGATCTGAAATTGAATCAGGTTCTGCAAGACCATGCAAAATGAGCTGTACATACCTACTTTGGCTAAGGTTTCCCTACAGATCTTAATAAACCCCATAAAACCAAAAATCAATGAAATAGTACTGCCGTAAGTTACAGACCAATAACACAATATATGCAAACTGAAAACAATTGAACTCTGTGATATATACTCTGACTGCCTTGGAACAGACAGCTTGGAACATAATGTGAAAAAAAAAAATTATCTTGGAACAAATTTGAAGAGGGCAGGGAGAGCCATCCTGCCCTGCAAGGAGCAAAGAGGGGGCACAGGGCTGAAGCTGCTCCAGAACAGGTATATTGGGAAACAAGATACATTGAAGAACAGGGCTGAGGGGGAACCCACAAAAAAAAAAAAAAAGAAACCTGAAAGTATTGTGTGGGAAGAGATCTGACCTTAAAAAAAAATTCTACCTAACAGCTTCTAATTCACACTCTTCTAACTCTTTCTTTTCTAAGAAACTGACAGATTCTACCACCTTGCTGTTGATTTGCTGGAACAGAAAATCGCATTAAAGGAGCACCTATCTGGCTAACACAAGGAGAGGAAAATACAGATCCTTTCCCATTCAAAGGGAAATTGAGGTAACTTCAGATTTAAGCCAAAGTGTGGTAATAAGGGAAGAAGACAGTCGAGGTAAAATGGAAAGAAAAAAAGGGAAGGTTTCTTCAGAGACTGCCAAGATTATTTTTTTTAAATAAAGAATTGCACCTTTCCCTGTCTCACTGGAAGCAACCAAAAACCTGGAAAGAAATTCTAGGTAGTCAGACTCCATGACACTTACCATTTTATGGAGCATACTAATTAAGAAAATTTCTCTTTGCTCTTCCTTTTTGGTAAGCACAGTCATTATCTAGCAGTAGCTACCATAGAGCGTATGTCAGACATACAGGACTAGCATAGTGCATTTTACAACTAAAATCAGTGGAAGTTCTCATTATAAAAACATTAATGGAAAGCCAGTACCAGACATCAAAAACATACCCAGGCAGTATGGTGAACATAAAAAATTACTTATCTCTCTTATGACAACCTTTGACAAGACCAATGATAACCACACAAAGTATCCATTGCTGTAATGTATGAATATCTTTTACAGAAAAATACTTACATATATCTGGATCTTTACTTTTCTTTGTTTTGTTACTAAGACTTATCTCAAATCTATTAATATCAGATGAAAGATCACTAGGAGAAAAAACAGACAGCCTCAATTAATACAATACATGGCTGGCACTTAAGCTGTTCCAAATTTCATTTCAATCCCAAGTTATCATTATCAGCCACTTATATTAGCAAAGATAGATGCCTACAGAAAATTCTACCCATGCAGAATTTGTCTGAAATGTTGCTGCTGTATAAGCACATATACAGTATTTTTTTTAAATACTGTAAAACTATAAATGAGTGTTAAGAATCTTAAATCCAATACAAATTAAAAGTGTAATTCACTAATTCAAGATAATTAAAACTTACTCAAAGACAAATTCTTCAGACCACACAGGGTTCTGTCCTTCCCTGATGTGTGTTTTTGCTACCTGGACACTGTTCAAGTAGATGTTACAATAGGGGTTTGTAAAATGCTTTACTGGGAGTGTATGAGCTTCTTCTACATGCAAAATGAGACTGCTGACCTGAAAAAAAATAAACAATTTATTTTTTATTGCTAAAACACAAAGCACATGAATGAATTATTTTAATCCTCTATGCAGAGGCTTAATGTGAATACTGAATACCAAACTCCTTATTAGAAGAGTAAAGACAAAGGTACTGGAACATTTTTAAGAAGCATAAAGAACAAAGTAAGAGTAACTCAAATAACTACTGAAAACAAATATCTAGACCCATGTTTTTAAGGCATCTTGGGGTTTTATTTTGCAATCATTTTTGAGGCATTAGGATTTGCAAATAACTTTTCCAGACACAGAAAATTTTACTGAAATGGAAGACTGGCACTCTGAGTAAGAGCCATGAACAATTCCAAATACAGTCGTTTATTGTTTGGTGCTTTCCTAACAGATTATGTAAAATTCTCTCGTACAACACATTACATTGTATTCTTTTACAAAGAAAAACACCGTCTTTGCTTTTTGAAGAAAATAATTCCCTTTTTATTTGGCTTTTGCACAGTGCAGCTCCCAGTTGCACCTGTCACTTCATCTGTAAATTCACCTACTTTAGTTCACTTATTCAGAAGTATCCAAACTTCTTTAATGTTCACAACCAAACAGTTGTGGTTTATTACTTTTTATTCACAATTTTATTCCACTCTCTACTGCCTCTAACAAGTAACTACATTCAATGTTCCAAAGATTAAATCATATCAGGAATTCTTAAAGTATTTCCCTGTTATTCTCCAATCATTACAGATATAGCTATTTAAGACTAATAGCCCTCTCTCTCTCTCTCTCTGAAGAAATTCTGGTGTATATGGCACTTTCAAGAGGCCAAGAGAAATTAAGACTCAAGCTTGGCTCAGCATGTATTTGTTACATAAAATGAATATCATTAGTTAAATAACATGCATTTACATGTAAATAAAATGTAAATAATGGGTATTTTATGTATGTGTAATATAACATTTTACACATACATTTTTTACAACATTTTTTGTTGTCATATGAATTTTTAATTTCCCATGTGAGGCATATTTGAAAAGCTGCTGACTTCTTTAGACTTTTATTCAGGATTTGCTGCTGTTGAAAGGAAAAATTCTTTCAGAGAGACTTATTAGTATCATTTTACACAGAGGAAGCAAAATACTTCTCCACATGCACCTCTAACCCACAATATTAGTTTCACCTGACGTAGACGTTTATTTGATGTTCCTGGACTGGTTTTTCTTAAACTGCAGAACACCTGCAGAGCTTTCATCCAGTCCTAAGAGAGAAGGATACAGTAGAATGTAATGAAACCAAGTCATACAGCTTTCTGCAGTGGAAGAGATGTATCTGCAAAAAGTATCTGACTTTTCACTTTAGCTTGGCAAAACCTAAGTCTTCTATAATTCCACACTACAAAAGTCTGAATATTAAAGCAAATTTATTATCGTTACTAAGCAAAACCTCATAAATAACTTGCAAATATGAACCACTTTCTCTTTTACAATTATCAAGCACTACTAATGGATATACAGTGGGACCTTTGCCAATTTTCCAGTGTAGTGATGCTACAAGAAATTGCAAATTGTATATAAAATTAAGAAAAAGTTGTTTGCTTCTGATAAAATTACATTTAACAAGCCAAACTGGTCTGATTATTCTCTCCAGTATTCCCATGTGGCAGTCGTAACACTGTATACTTCAAACAAAAACTGAACAATTAACAGAGAAACATAGAGCATATATCCAACATTCTCTAGTTTGTCTTTGGAAGGTGAAATATGTATTATAGCCTCATTCACTAGTTACTGTCTCCCAACCACCATTAAATCCTGCACATTTCTTGCAAAGCAAAAAATTTAGATTTTGACCAACAGTCTTCTCTTCAGTCAGTATCTCAAAGATATACTCTCAAAGTACAATTTAATAATGTCATTAAAACCCCCACAACAGTGCTTCAATCATTCTTCACAGCATCTTACACATCTTAAAAATACAGGAATATGTACTGCATCTATTCTCAGCTTTGTGAGTTAGGCTTCAGCTTTCAAATCCTTCCAAGGAAAAGCTTTCAGCTACACCCCACCAAATTTCTATTTTTCTATGAAATGTCAGAAAGTAAAAAAAGCTGAGCTTTCTCAAAAGATAAACACTTGTAAACTTTTCTGGGCCAAAGCCATATTATAAAGAAATCTGAAACAACTGCGTTCTGTATAAAAGCAGTGAACAGCTTGTTAAGCAGTTTCAAAACTTAATTAAACCAAATGTTCAGGAAACAAAACAGGACATTCTATCTTCTACACATTCTTAATTATTTTATTTTTTAGAAAACAAAAGATTTTACAGACATGACAAAAATTAAGGAGCATGGAATTTAACTTATATATTCTCAATTATGATACAGCATACTTCTGCTCGAAGACAGTATACTGACAGTTGTATGACAAATTCCACTACATAATTCTTATGTCATCTCTCCAAATTTAACAAATGGCATTAATTTAAAAAGAAAATCTGTGCTTTCCTTTATATACAGCACACAAAAAAATACTGTATTTATACAGACTTCATGCTCTGGTGAATACAACAGCCTGTTATGAGTGCTCTAAAAAGCTTTCATGCCATTCAAATAACAGCAAATGCAAAGATTAACTTCTAATGCAACATATACATCAGAGCTGTGAATTTGCAGAACTCAAACACAGTATCATTTGGGATACAATCTACTGGTAAACTAATTCTAAGAAGAAAGCTTCTGTCCCACAATTCTTAATCACTGAACATAACTGTTAAGAGAGCTAGTAACTAAAGACAGTATATAAACCCAGAAAACCTTACACTGTGCACCATCAGGGCCAAAGACTATGCATGACTACCAGTTCATATACACAGCAAATAACTGGAAAAGGCAGTTCAATGCACTTTCAATGCACTTTGGTCACTGGCCAGACATACATGCATTAGCGTTTTATTTATTTTACTCTGAAGTAAAACTCTCTGTGCTGTGTTTTATATCATGGAAAAGACCTGGAGAGTAAATTTCTTCTTCTAAATTGAACTACGTCAAAAAACATGTATGTTCTCCAGAAACAGGTAACAGAAAGTAATGGAAGTTCTGTGGATGGGGCCTGACTGGAATTTGTCAAAACTAAAACCTTGAAGAACAGGTAATACAAGTGCTGGATTTTCAGCACCAACCTTCCCACTCAGAGATCTGCTACCAGTACATTTTAACACCTGCTATATAACCACTAAATATTTGTGATGAATTTGCTTCATGTTTCAGAAGGGCAACATCACTGAACAACACAAGATTAAGAGTTACTTTTTTTACACTTAGCAAATAAAAACTCTCACCTGTGCTTGTTCTGGAGTTTCGCCTGCAAAGTAAAAGATGTAATGCTCTTCACTAAAGTGCTGAACTACTATCTGAAAACAGTTTGGCCTTAAAAATAAAAAAAGAACAAAAATTAAGTTTAATTAATCTTCACATATTAACAGATACCTTCACTTGATCTGTACCAAAATGAAGTTTACACTGAACTAACAGATTTCTCCTGTTTTTCTGTAAGGTGCATTGAATAACTGCATCAGTGCTTGTTCATCTACATGTTACCATCACAAATGGAAAGAGGAAGACTTCCAACAAGATTTATCAGATCTTCAAAAACTGCATTTTGGTTTTGAATGTATTGTGTCATTTTAAGAAAACTAACATGCAGCCTGCTTCAGAACATTAACACATCTTTAGAATGCTGTGTACTGAAAAGACATGTATGCTGGCTTACAGTTAAGACAAAATAAACCATCCATCTCAAAACACTTATCAACAAGGATTATTCCTAGAGAGTTTAAAAACAGTGGAAGTTCAGCATTATTTCACAACCAGTTAATCATACATTAAGGATTTTTTCTTTCAGGAAACAGTGCTAACCTAAGGAATCCCCTAGATGAATGTGTCCCACAGCTCTCATGACCAGTAAGATGTGTACTAGATCATACACGAAACATTTGAGTGTATGTGACACAAACCTCTACAACCTTAAGTGCTGAAGAAGTACAGCCTTCCCTGTACTTCTGAGGAAAATGCAGAGAGTTTTTAATGAGCTACTTGAAGTGCAGGAGGAACTCTGTCTCAACTGCAGTTCCTCACTAACTCCTTCCTAAGCTGCTGCAACCATGCATGTCCTCCTACACACCTGTAAGTACCACCTAGCACACAACTTGGCTCCAACCGACAACGCAGGGTTTAAAAGAAGGAAACAGAATGCTTATTGATTACAATATATACCAAAGCTTTGTGCCTAACTGTCAACTACACAGGGAACATTTCAGCATTTTTTTAAAATAATCTTTAGCTATCTGTGCTCCTCATTCCAGTAGTCAGATGTTGGAGTTTTTTTCAAAGTTATTAAAGACTTTAAAAACCCACAAACAGAGCAAAGCATCAGTCCTTGTAGATCAAGAAATACCACTAATGTTAAACATTTGTCTCTAGTTTTTTCACAAAGGAACTAGAAGTTGTCTATATATAATTTTTCAATAAATACTAAGATCTGTAGGATAGCCAGAATTTCTATCACTTATTATGTAAGTAAATATAGTTATTTCTTCTATAAAAATTCTATAAAATACAGGCCAGTGGAGTTTTGTAACTACATATGAAAAAATACATAAATGCTCTTCTTAATTTCTAGCAATATCTAACACTTCTGATTCTCAACTTTCTTGCTGATAATCACGTCCCACATGGTCAGCATATTTGGAATATCTAAATATTAAAGTAAGTAAGATTTGATGTGTAAGTAACTCTGAGTATAGTAATTGTGCAAAAACAATCTTTGAGGATGTTTACTTATATGAACTAGTGTGCTACAAACAAAGTGCTTGTTTTTAAATAGTAAAGCACCTACAGACTTCTAACCAAGTTAGCTTTCAAATACCTACCAAAATGATGCAGAACTTTTAGAATTCACAAAAATTCTTTATCTTATTAACTCTTGGTGCAATATGATTAAAAAAACCCCAATGTCCTACCTGCCAAATAAACTGTCATGTACTCCATAGACAGAACACACACTAAGGTCTATTAGTCCTTTGGGTTTTGTGGCTCGTTTTTCACTTTCAAAATAAATAAGCTGGGCATCATTTCCCTCTAATATAAAGTACAAGTTTTTCCATCTCTTTCCTTTACCTGTACAAGAATCAAGCAAATGGTTACAATACTGTCTAAAACAACATGTAAATTTTGTAAATTTAAATACAGAAGAGGGCAGTAAAGCTTCTGTCAAACTCCGAAAAAAAGAACAATGTACAGATAATCACACTTGAGTTATAACATGAATATACACATTCAATTTTATACATGTGACAAAAACCAGATCCTCTTCACAGATGCAGGTAGAGTTGCAAAAGATTCTTCAAACATCCTCAGTGCTTTCAGCAGCATTATGGAAGTGCATATGAGCTGCCCCAACAGTGAACTCCTCTCAGTGTTACGCCTGTATCTACACAGATTGCAAATAGTGACAATGTGGACCCCATTCATTCAATTTTTTTTAAGAAATGGACTTTCAACATTAGAAAGTTACTCCTAAACTCTGACCATTGATTGCATTACAATACCTAAAAACATATAGCTGAAGAACAGAAATGGAAATATTTTATATGCAAACTTAAATCAGAATCAACCCACAAGCACAACCTTATGAAAGAATTTGGCTGGTTCCACTTGCTGCAGAGAAAGGTTCTTTGAATTACAATGGATTAGGAGCATTCTGCAACAAATTAATGCTTAAATCAGGGAACCATTTAGAAGAAATTTTCAGCCTTTATTTTATACTTCAATCATCATAAATCCACTGGGGCCTTAATAAACTAGTAGCTAAATTGTTTCCAAAATACAAATGTAACACTAATTTATTATACTATGACTCCTAGATGGAAGAGGGATTTTATTGCATTCAGTCCGTATGTATTATGTGCATCCCTCTACAAGAGAATACTCCGATTTGCCTCTTTTAGCCTAATTTTTCCAAGTCATTCCAATTTCATTCCTTACTCCATGACATGTCTCTACACCTCTGAGAATAAACCTCCTCAACCAATGAGATGCTTCCCTTGTTCTGTTCAGAAGGTATAGTTTGGGGTGGTTTGGGATTTTTTTAATGTCTCTTGTATTAGGCTATATGTAAATTCATACCTTCTTTCTTGCATTTGGTCACTATCCAAATTACCACCTGTAACTTATCCTTCTTGTCATTTGCAGGAATCTTGTTACTGATACCGTTTTTCTGAGTCAAATAATGCTGATTTTTCCAAAAAGTAGAACTATAACACTTGGCAAGGGACCAGCTTCCTCAAAACTTGAAAGACTTGTTCAATGGAAATTCTTCAGGGTAATACTGAAGATTACACTGAAATAAGTCAAGCTGTCAGCTTTTAATGTGCTTATTGTATGTTATGCTGTGTCAGCATTAGAACCCTAAAAAGTCACTATATCCTTTGTACGGCAGACTGTGCATTTTAAATTTAAGATTGAAAACATACAACCTCACTTGGAATAACAAAATGAAACCAGCTGTTCTCTGCGGTGAATGTACGTATTTACACTACTCTAGCTCTCTCAAACCTCTATCAGCTAGAAACTTAGTGAATTCAACATTAACGACATGCACTTTATGAAAATATATTTCATTTCATGCTTTGAACCCTGCCTTTGACAAGGATGCCCACTTTTTGTACTGTGCTGATTTTTTCGGAACTGCCAACCTAAATTTTCATGCTGCATGTAATTTCATGCATCACACTGATCTATTCATCTACTACTTATGGAAAGAGATCTTTCACACTCCTTATACACTTGCTAGAACTTTTTGCCCACTTCAGTTTTGCTCTTTCTAGTACCACTAAATTCATTAAATTCAGTTAGGAGGTGCTGATCTCTGCTCTCTAGTGACCAACAATAGGGCACGAGGAAATAGAACAAAGTTGATGCAGGGAAATTTCAGATTTTCCCTTAGGAAAAAGTTCTTTACTGAGGAGGTGGCTGGTCCTTAGAACAGGGTAGGCAGGAAATGCTCACAGTCTGTCAGGGTTTAAGGAGTGCCTAGATAATGCTCTTAGTCATGTGGTTTAGCTTTCAGTGGACCTGCAAAGAGCATGATCTTTATGACTCCTGTCCAATTTAAGATACTGTATGATTCTACGATCATTATCTGCTTTTTCTCTTCCTTTAAAACATAATAGAGGCAATCATAACTCACTTTTTTTCAGAAGATAACCTTTTTTGACAATATTTTTATAAAAAGCATCCTTTGTTTTCCGACGAATTGTATTGTAGATTTCTTTTCCGTCCACTGTATCATTAAGCACTTGTTCTTGGTGCTAGAAAACATGTCAGAAAAACATACTTTAAGCTCAGAAATCACCATTAAAAATGTATCCTATGAAGCTGGAATCAGGATCATCTTACTGAATGCTACCTAACTCATTACTGTTTTTCTCTCATGCATTTTACTAAAGCATTCATTTTTCATACAATACACATGCTACAAATGTAACACTTTCCATATTTCCCAAACTGAAAGAAAATAAGGGTTTTCAATGCAGACCAACTTCTACAAAGTAAGTCTTTTTCATGGAAAAACAAAAAACATGATCTTTCACTGTGATTTCAACTGTATTAAAATTTATGCCAGTCTTTGAAGATTTATCTAGCTTCTAACTTTCTACTACCAAAGCTCATAGGCCTGTGATATCATGGATAAACTCTGAAGCAACAAAAATGGTGCAGATCATAATTAATAATGAGGGGCACAGTCCCTCATTAATCTCATTAGAACCCACATGTTGTAACTGAGCAGAATTCAGGACAAGAGAAGAAAGAAAGAAACGGAAAACAGAAAAAGGATAAATTCATACAAGAAATGATACTATCTAGAAATGCAAGTAATAAGTATGACCAAAACCCAAGCCAGGTCTGACCTTACTAAGTAAGCTGATGAACAAAAGTTCTTTAGCCATAAAAAACAAAGAAAAGCAAGACTATAAAGTAGTAAGGACATCACTGAAATGAAGAGAGACATATGAACTGGTTTTTATATAATATTCTACTTTGGTTCCTGTGCATATATCTGCAGTAATTATGATTTTGATCAAAACAACAATAGCACGATGAAAACAAAAGTGCAGGTCCTTAGCAGCTCACCAGGGTCAACCCACCACAGAAAATTACATGTATGTTCATTAAGTGCTTTCCAGAGGGAATTATGCATAACATGGTAATATTCCAAAATTGTTCTGATAAATGTTCAAGAAAGGCAAGTTCACACCAAAACTGGTAGCAGCAAGGCAACTATGAAAACATTACAAAGAGACAGGATCAGCTTCTGTGTGCTTAGCTTGGTGAACAGAAGAAATGCTTCTGTTCAATAAAAAAGATGGCACAAAGGGCATGTATGAATTGACTGCAACTCTCTTTAGGGAGGACAGGAAGAGCAAATTACCGATTTGATGAAACAGGAAAGCTTGGGAACAGAAAAAGAAAAGAATAGGTATGTAAATTTTATAACTAGCTATATAAGCTCATGAAAAGCTAAATTATGTGGTATGCTTATAACTGGTGATCTCTTAGAATCAATTTCTGCTATGAGGCAAGTGCACTTCAGAACAAGTGCTGCAGTCATTCCTGAAGCTTTTAAACTCCCTGCAATCACTCCTGAAGCTTTTTGGTGTGTACAGGTTTCCTGTGACAGGAGAAAAACCCCAGACACAGAAGAGAGAAGGCCAGACAGGCTCCCCTTAATATGGGATTAAATCAAATCATTAGCCCAGGAACAGAGCTAGGGGCGCAGATTAGAGGTCGAACACCTCATCGCATAGACAGAACTTACCATACTTCCTGTTGACTACAAGCCAGTCTTCAGTAAGTGTATGTATTTGAGGATAAAACAAAAGAAACAGATGAGCTGAAAACATTGAAACTGCTGATGACTGACTACTGGAGATGATGCTGTTTAACTACCACTGGTATCTCTGCTGTAATTTAGTTCACAAATTGATTTGATAGTGATTCAGTCTCTGACTTCAACATCAAAGGCTCAGAGATTAAATCCTACCTGCATTGGAACAGGATCTTTTAAGTAATATCCTTCAACAATCTGTTCTTTTCTGTAGTGCTCAATGATGTCAGCAATACTGTTCCAATAACAAAAAGAATATCGAAATGTTAAACATTAATTTTTCCATTGTTTGAGAATCTGCTTTTCCATAAAACCACAGAAAACATTCCCTCAAAGTTTTAATAAAATCAAGTGTTAATCATCATAATCCTATTTGAAAGGAATGAGGATTTACTAATACACTGAAGTCAAGAAGGTTTACAAAACTGTATTCAGAATGTACTAATCCTAAATTTTGCAAAGTATTTTAATGACTTGCTTAAAATGTCAAATGAGGACATTGCACTTTGCACACTCAGGTAGTACATGTGCATTACCACTTTCCAACCAGGCTGAAAAATTGCTATTTCATTGGCAATAGTTTTCCAAGTCCTAGAGTAATTAGCTAAGTGGAATGGGACATACTCTGAGTGAAGTGCAATCTTCTTCCATGAGGACAGGAATAGAAAACAGAAAAGGTTGGTAGCAGGCTTATAAAGATTACAACTGGACATCACTGAGCTATCCTTTCAAACACTCATGTCAGCAGCATTCCTCTACAGGGATGCACTCATTGTAGTCATCAGATTCAGACTGCAATTGCATTTGGAAGGCTCAGGAGAGAAGTAGTAACAGTAACAAGCTGACATTCAAGACATTTAAGTTGCTCTAATTTATTTTTGCACTACTGAAATTTTTGCACTGTAATAAAGAACAGCAACAGGGTCATCAACAGAAATTAATCATTTACATGCAAATATCCATCTAGAAAAAGAGCTAAGTAATTAAATAGATAAATATATACTCAGTGTGACTTCTCAGTTTATGCATACTCAGCTGTGTGTTCAAAGATACAAATAAGGCATGTGTGCAACACTGGAACAATAGCTGATACTGTAAAAAATCTCAAAACCTACATAAAGCAAGGTATCTTGGTTAGCTTTTCTATTCCATTCTGAAACTATGAACTAGGAAACTTGATAAAATTATCTTCTCATGAGCACTTTTATTTTTCAGATATGTAAAATGAGATTAATGTTTATTTCAGTTTTAATGAAATCACATAATTAATTTCAATTTTTACTGAGATGCTGTCTACACATGCTGTTTTCTACATAAGAATTTCAACTGTGTCACACTACAAAAAACATTGACTCAGGCATTACATTTCACAGGTTGAATAGCTACTACCAACATTTTCTAATCAATCAAACAGCATTATATGAATTTTCTCACTCATCAAATCAGGAATACCTTGACCTTCAATGCATCATTTGCTTCCTTGATTAAAAATGCTATTAGGAGTTTCTTAATGTAAGGAGCAGGTGCCTGCAAAATTTCTACAATTTTGTAATACTGGCCAAAAATAAATTCAGATGTATTTAAAAAACTCCTTCTGTAGTTAGAGTAACATTTAGACTAGTCTTGATGGAGCACCCAAGGGCTGCATTCTTCATTATATGTTTGAACTTCCAGCAGATTTACCAACCTTACACACACAGAAATTTGAACTGAATATCACCTTAAGAATATAGTGATAATTCTCCCTAACATACAACAAAAACAAAGATTTTCGTTGACACTAAGGAAGATCTCTGGAAAACTACGTAACAAAATACTGAAAGAAATTCTTAAAGCACTTTATCATAATTTATTGCTGCTTAACTTTAAAATCTTATTTTCTGTTTGGCTGCATAGAATCTCTTTCAGACAAATGTAATCTACATACCAAGTGAATCCAGCATTATATTATAAAGTAATCTGAAGCAATAACAAGGTAATATATTTCTGAAAGTGTACTATTTAATGCTACAAACCCATTTGAGACTAATAAGAGTTCCTCTAAGTTGATTAATTTGATATCACCAAGGGTGGGGGGCTCCTGGCCTATCATCCTCCCAAATCACACAACTAGAAATTGGCATTTACCTTCATGAAAGGCTGACCCTGCAGCTAGCCTAGTTTTCAGTAAGGATGGCTGGAGGCCAGACTGACTAATGAAGAAGGTATTCAAGCAGCCTGGGTGTGAAATGGGCCTAGGTTCATAAGGATCCATTTAGCCTCACAGCATCATGTGAGTGTAGTCATATGAACAAGTCCACTGAACTTAGTGAGGAGACCGTAATATTTTCTCAGACACACTCAGAAGTGACAGAAATTCTCGACTGGGGTAAGAATGCCCTGGTTCTAAGTGAGCAGGACTGGAAAAATGCTGATTTTTTTTTTAAGGCAGACAGTGACCTCTGTTTAAGGAGGAAGGTGAGTTTTTACTACTGAAAAGTCTTCCAGATACAACAACTCTAAAAAAATACTATCAAAGATGAAGGTGTACTGATAGTCTCTCCCACAAAAGGGGAAACACCTCATTATTTCTGTTTTCTACAAATTACTAATTTTTTTTGCACTAATGGCAAAAGAAATGCATCTTAAGTTTGTTCACTCTAAATGAACTGATCAGTATTTCTGCTCCGAGTACCATGCACATATTTCAATGTAATTTAGTAACTTTTTCCAACAATTACGGCATTTTTCCCCGTTCTTGAAAATACCCATTTCTATTATTTGAAAACTCTATTGATTGTCTCAGATAAAATTGGCATTTTTATTTTCCCCTTTTCAAACAGACAAGAATGCATGCAGAAGCTTCCAAGCTGCTTCAAATAGAGTAATCTCTTAATTACAGATACAGAATTTATGGATCCACACGATCCATTCAAACCACAATTTACAGAGTGAAACAACTGGTTGGCAGAACAAGCACAACAAGCACAAATACTTCAAGAGAAACAAGTTACACTTAAACTGTAAGAATCTGCTCAGTTAGAAGTAACTACTATGGAAATTAGAGAAAATATTTAGTATAAAGGAAACTACAGTCTTAACATCATAATAGTAAATAATTATCAGGAGCAAGTTATGCAAACACAAAATATACATAATTCCTTTTGCCACAAGAACTCACCTATTATAGTATCTGCCTCCCATCATAAACTGATTGTTTGATGTTGGACATATTTTAAAACGCTGAATATTTTCACTGGTCCGGAAATAAAGTGAATAATCACCAGGGGTATTATCTGAAGGCCTCACAAGAAAACTGCACACCTGACCAACTGAAAAGACATCATAAAAGTGTTATTTTTCTTAATGATATATGTAAACCCTTACAAAATCTATTTCTACATAAACTAGAAAGAACCACACACTTGGAAGAAATACAAACCCTATAGAGGTAAACTCCAGTAGTGATCTCAAATTAGAAGAACTAGTACTCAAGCACCAAAATTAACAAAATATGGTTCAGCTGTAGCCTGCAACCCAGCCACATCTTTTGCCATCTCTTTAAAACATTATACAAAAAATGTTTGGTAATATTTTCAAATCTCTGTGCCAGTATTTAAAGTAATGTATTAAACAATATGGGTCAGAAGTACTGTTTTCATTTAAAGAGATACTTGCTTTATGAATGTGAAATAATTGATTCCACATATAACAATTTAAAAATTCATTAAATCAAAAATAAGTAGATTAACTTTACTTGAGAACATACTCAGTACTGATAGCCATGAAAGTTTTCTTCCGATGTAGTATTCTACTGAGGTAGCATACAGAGAGACTGGGGAATCTAAAACACATTTATGTTTAGACATTAAAGGAAGTTTTACCATAGTTTAGTGATCCTATTAACAGGATCACTTTGTGCCATTTCCCTATCACTGTAATTCACATCAGAAAGACACATACCTGTCATGAGCAAATTGTAAGCTTCTTGTTTGGAGATCTTCCCATGGAACCATCTTAACAAAGATGAAGAAAAAAATTAGAAAGCAAGACTACCAGCTCTCTTTTTTGGTTGTGCTGACATCCAAGGTTCTGGCACCTATGAATTAATCTTTATTTTAAAAGACTCAACATATATACATGAGACAATCAAAATCTATACTACTTAATGATTCTCTCCTCCCAACGTGAAAAGACTAACACTAATAGGTATATAAATAAATTGTTTTCAATGAAACACTTCAGCTGATGTTCAAATACAAGCAAATTTAGAGATTAATATGAATTGTCCAAAAAGTAGGTAATTTGACAGATATTATTTTAAGTCATACAGCAATGTACTAGAATCATGAAATCTGAAGTTCAAACAAGAAGTTATACACAGAAAACCTCAATCTCAAATTTGCCAGAGCTGTAGAAACAAAACCGAGCTTTGTTAGATTAATGAATATAAACTACTTTCATCTCACACCTTGTACTTTCCCAGAGTCTTGTGTCAGGGTAGTACCCCACAGAAGTTCACAGCCTCTGCCTAGTTTTGGCATGATACTTACCACTATTCAGAAAAGCTTGACTTGCTGCAACTTAATAATCTGTATTTAAAGGAAAGCTGAAGATACGGTGCTGTTATAAGAATACACCCCAATTTTTGGCTTTCTTTCTGTATTACCTTCAGATATTAATGTGGATTCCTCTGAAAGGTAAACTGAAAGACAGAATCAAAGCTCCACACAATCCCCTAACAAGCTACTTTCCGAATATGAAATTTCCACATTTGAAGACATCCATACTGCCAAACTGACTAGCAGAACACAGTAAACCAAACAGACCACTGAAATGCCTCCTTCTGCCACCAGCCTCTTGCAAAGTGGGAAACAGCAAAAAACCAGCAAGCAAATGAGGACATCAGATAAGTCATCAAGTCCCTAGACATTTTTCACAACTATCTGCCACTCATCTTCACCTGTGAATGTAATCTATTAACAAACTGACCTATCAACATACTGCTGGTTCAAAGTTGAATTTTTAAAAATTTTTAAGCAAACAGAAGGAAACTTACAGTCCTGTGACTTTTTCTTCAAACTTTTAAGTGTTATAAGAATCACAGAATTGTAGGAACACAGAATCCTTTGTGTTGGAAAATACCTTTAAGAGCATCATATCCAATCCTTAACACAGCACTGCCAAGGACATCACTTAACCAATGTCCCGAAGTGCCACATCTACACACCTTCTAAATCCCTCCACAGATGGTAATTCTACCACTGCCCTGGGCAGCCTGTTCCAGGGTTTGACAAGCCTTTCAGTGAAGGCATCTTCCCTAATATCCAATCTAATCCTCCCTTGGTGCAACCTGAGCGAGCTTCCTCTTGTCCTATAACTCGCTACCTGGGAGAAGACCTCTTCTAGCTACAAGCTCCTTTCTGGCGTGTATAGAAAGCAATGAGAGTCCCCCTGAGCCTCCTTTTCTTCAAGCTGAGCCCCACCAGCTCCCTCAACTGCTTCTCATTAGACTTGTGCTCCAAACCCTTCCCCAGCTCTTTTCTCCCCTCTGGACTCACTGCAGCACTTCAGTATCTTTCTTGCCATGAGAACCCAAAACTGAACCTAGAACTCAAGGTGTGGCCACACCAATCCTGAGTACAGCAGGACAGTTACTGCCCTGGTCCTGGTGGCCACACTATTGCTGACCCAAGCCAGGATGCCATTGGCTTTCTTGGTCTCCTAGGCCCACACTAGCTAGTGCTGTTCAGCCATTATTGACCAGCACCTCAGGTCCTTTCTGCTGAGCAGCTTTCCAGCCACTGCCCCAGCCTGCAGCACTGCAGGGGTTGTTATGAACCACGGGCAGAAACAATCACTTGGCCTTGTGAGATCTTGTGAGGCCTTACTGACCCAGCTTATGCAGATTCCTCTGCAGAGCACTCCTACTCTCCAGAAGATCTGCACTCTCACCCATGACATAAACAGGAGACATTGTTCTAACAGTATTTAGAGTTGTTAATTCCAAGGCAACTGTGATTCAAGAAATACTCCATAAGTGCACATTTTGGCTGAAAGTGATCATACATGGCCTCATTTAAGATTTCAGCACTGCAATATCTATTAACAACAGACACACCTATTACAAGACTTTTTCACGTTAATTATCCCTGCATCTGCAGCAGCTAGTATATAAAGAAGTCTTGAGATTAAAAAATAAATCTCTTTGGTCACTTTCTCAACAAGTAGAAATCTCACGGTGGAACTTGACAAACAGTTATGATTGCTTTCAAACAACAAAACAAAAATCCTTACATTTTGCCTTCATGGGGATCTTCTTCTCTTCCCTGTGAGAAAATTAAGGTATCAAGTGAATGAAAACAGTACAACTCAATTTAAAAAAACATTTTATAAGTTAAGACCTTCTGTAGAAAAAAAAATACATTTAGAAATCTGATGCATTTTTTACCTAAAGGGCTTACTGCAGCTCTATGAAAAGCTTTCCTCTTCATTCACTAGGTGAAAATTCAGAAAAAATTCAGAAAAAAATTGATAATTACTTCATTCATGATCCAAGTCTTTTAGAAGTGGTAACTTTTTAGAAAGTTTCAACCTTCTCAGCCTTCCAAACATTAAATTAACACTGACCTATCAGTCGACAGATCAACAGTCTAGTACTGCCACTTCAGTTTAGCTATTCACATCCTGACACAGGTCATTTATGAGAAGCATCTCAAGTAACATTGCTATTAGCAAAACATACATACTGTGTAAGAAGATATTACAAAAAAATCTATTTTTTTCCCTTTTTTCTTCTCACCAATATATTTTTAACCCAAATTTCATCCTAGAATAAAGAGAAAGACCTACCACAATGCTAAATTACATTCTGTTGAGTTAGTGTACATTTCACAGCAATTGCAAGAAAGAAATGTAATTTAATGATAATAATAATCTACCAGGACCGTAGATTTTAGGGAAATGCCTAGTAAATTTACAGTACCATTCATTTGCACTTATCTTTGGACAACATAAGAATAAACATTTTTTGATAACAAACTATGCTTAAAGGTTTTAGTTTTTTAGAACTACTAGATGAATTTATTAGGTTCAGAAAAGCACATAATTAGAAAACAGGCAATTAAAATGTCACTAGTTTTTGTTCAGTATTATTTTATTAAAAAATCCCATTCATTTAAGAAATCTGAATACAAAAATTACTTACCACTTCTTCTACCAGGTCTTCCACAATAAGACCTTGTTCATCTGTCCGTAGGTTTGTAACCCACATCCAGCCATCTTCCAATTCATTATGGACAATAAACATGTCTCCTTTAAGGAAACTGAGGAGGATTACAGCAACATTTAAATCAGAGATACAATCATAATATAAAGTTTAATTAACACAATGAATTCTTGAGTATAATTTCCATAAAATATTTGGGAAAACTGATTTGTAAAAAATGCAGGAACTGATAGTCCAAGCACATGTGTATTTTTCCTCACAGTTAAGTGGCTACTATATACAAGTTTTCATACTTTTGATTTATGTTTAGTATGTAATATATGCTTCAGTGCTGTCAACTTCAAAGTGTGCTAATGTATAAAACAAAAATAACACAGCAATATTAATATGCAGTACTATTGCTCTTTTATCAAGAGAGATCAAATATGCAACACAAATAAAATAACCCTTAGCAGTCTATAAGAAAATAATATTCCTTTCATTGAAAAATTACTTTGCATAATGTAAGTTGTGGAATACCTCTTCATTATGTTCTCATACATGAAGACAAGTGATGCAGAGAATACAGAGCAGTTACCAGAGATACCATGCAATTAGGTACAAGTGTAAGAAGCATTAACATTCAAAATCAGAGAATCACAGAATCAAAAAGGTTGGAAACTACCTCTGAGATGACTGAGTCCAACCTACTACCAAATACCACATGTCAACCAGACAACGGCACTAAGTGCAACATCCAGTCTTTTCGTAAAGACCTTCCAAGACACTGATTCCATCACCTCCATGGGCAGTATTTCAATGTCTAATCACCCTTTTTCTGAATAATTTCCCCTAACCTAAAGCCACCCTGTAGACTAAAGGGGAATTTAAGATTATGTCCTCTTATCCTGTCACTCTTCTTCCATCTGGAAGAACAGACTGAACTCTGCCTGGCTACATGCTTCTTTTAGGGAGTTGTAGAGAGCAATGAGATCTCCCTTGAGACTCCTCTTCTCCAGGCTGAGGCCCTGCAGCCGCTTATAATAGGACCTGTACTCCAGACACTTTACCAGTTCCATTACCCTTCTCTGGACACACTCCAGGACCTCAGTGTCTTTCCCGAGTTGAATGATTCAGAACTGGACATAGTACTCAAGGTGTGGCCTCACCAGTGTTGAGCACAGGGAAAGAATCACTTTCTTAGTCCTACTGGCTACACCACTGCTGATCCAAGTCAGCATGCCATTGACTCTCTTGGCCACCTGGGCACAGCTGGGTTATCTTCACCCTGCTGCTGACCAGCAATCCCAGGTCCATTTCCATTGGGCAGCTTTCTAGCCCTGCAAAGGGTTTATTGTGGCCAAAGTGCAGGACATAGCAGCAGGTCTAAGGGAGTTTTCATTTCTGGAAGACTAGCGTAAGTTACTCCTTAAATGTTAAGAACACAAACTCAGCTGCAGCACAGAATTTTTGATCATGTTTCATGATGCATCAAGGTACAGGAAAAACAGTAAAGAGAGAAGCTCATCAACTACCATTTCAATTCAAAATTGCATAGCAAATGTCTATGGCACAGCTCTCATTTAATGTAGGCTAACAGAAAAAACAAAACGCAATAAACCACTATCAAAAACAAAGAATAAATTCAACTGCTATTCAGCTTTAACAGATTACAAACAACAAGAGCACACTCCATCACTGCATAGTTACTACATGGAAGACATGTTGAAATTAATTCAGTAATACTTCAAACATAAACATATTTACTATTATATTAAAATTCTAAGTCAATATTCTCTGAAATACATAATTTCTTCAAGAGCATATTAATTCAATCCAGAACAAATCTGAGAACTCTGGTCTCAGCTATACCACAAACAGAATTATTTTAACCATGTAGACCTCAAAACATAAATATCAACTCTGCATTTCAGCTTGATCCTAAAAGAGGAAGAAAAGGTTTAATTGCCTATAATTTTTGTTGTGATAGCAAACAATAAAATGCTATTTTCTCTTAAGCTGATAGGTTCAATAAGGCCCATAAAGGATTCTTTTTTTTTTTGTTGTTGTTGTTCTCACACAGAGTAGGAAGCCTTAGTTGCAATGTGCCACTAGAGAGCCCCTTCCCAGTCTATCATCTTCGTAAAACACATAATTACAAAAACAAATATCCTCATATCATCCTTTAAAGAATCAGACTGGACTGTGAGTCTTGGAATAAATTTCCATCCAAGTGAGGATATAAAGCTCTCATACTTTCCTCTACATTTTAAGATAATAATCTTAAACCTAAGAAAATTCCCAATTCAACTGGTGTATTACATCAGCTTATGAAACCTGTCTCATTAGAGAGATTAGGAATCACCACAAAAGACTTTCAAATCTTCCTACTTTTTAATCTGGAAAAAAATTCTCAAGAAAGCAGTATCAATCCCAAGTAAACAGAAAATGGTCTTCTACTGAAAGACTCACTTCTTCCATTCTTAAATTTGTAAGTAGACAAGGCCCACTTTCTCTTTCTAGTGATCTGAATTGTTTCCCTCAGCTACACATCCAATAATTCTGTGGCAGTTCAGAAAAAAGCCTAGCTCATTTCTTTCACACACTCTGATAAGGCATTTCCATACAGAATTATCTGACACATAAATTTATCCTTTTGGTAAAAATCTAGGGCTTTACAAAACATATTTCAAAATCATCACATTATGAATTTTAATTCTATGTACCTTTATGTACCTTCTGTTCAATTAATACAAATATACTAAGAACAAAATGTCTTATTCTTATTCCCAACCAAATAGAGAGATATCATCTGTTAAACGAACTATGTCAAGTTTAATATGGAACTGGAAAATACTTGCATACACCTACCTAAATTATTACTATTTGTCAATACTCTTGAGAATTTCATAGCTATTACTGTTACTCAAACATACCTTATTTCATCAGTTTCTGGCACTTTGGTGTAAGGCAGAATTGCTCGAACTCTTCTTCTGTCTTCCACAGGCTATAGTTTAAAAAAGAGCAATGGTTTTTTCTTTATACTTTGCACTGTATATTCTATACTGCAGAGTCTTCCTCCCCAGCCTTATGCTATTCTGAGGCAAAGAACACTGCCTTGCCAGTTTTACATTTCCAAAGCTCAAAACCACAGTCAGCTAGAAACACGTAATTTGTTGACTAAGAGCACTAAAGAGCACTTTAATTTTTTTGTTTTCACTTAGAGCAGAAATAATATCCAAAATTTTAACATTAAGAAACATCTTTATTCAGGTTTTGGGATTTGTTACAGTTGATATTTTGCAGTGCGTTTTTTTCATTTTAATTACTGCTGTTGTTTTAAGGATGCATTTTTATACTCCCTACAGTTCCACGTATGCCTATGCAAAACGACAGGAAACTTTCTAAATTTTTTTTCCCAAAGAAAATTTTGAATAGTGATTAAAGTTACAAACATTTTAGTAAGTTAGTCTTAAGGATTTTTTTTTACTTGCCTCTGGAGGTGCTACTGGAAATAAGAGCTTTTCTCCTTTCAGCAAGCAGGACACGTGACTGTAATAACCAATCAGGTCTGAGAGTGAAGCAAAGCGACGCCCACCAATGTAATAGTCTCCACACATGGCAATAATCCTGTTAATAAAAAAAAAAAAACAGAAGCCTGACATTAGAAAAATTTTTGCTACCAATTTTTTTTGAAGAAAAGGAGATTAGGATAATTTTTCATTCTTAAAACACTGCCTAAATTCAGCAAAATACAGTGTTACAGACTCTCTGTAAACATGTAAATAAACCTAATGAATATTTTAGCAAATATATTTTATGAGCCACCAGTTTTTTATCCAAAGAAAGTGCTGATTCACAGAAAAAGACAGTACATTTGTCAGAACTAAATGAAATTTAAAAAAAAAAAGAAGCGTGAACATCCTGGAAAACTGAAACAATGCATGACAACCGCATTATTACTTGTATCATGCACAACACAAACCTTTTATAATAGGTATAAAGTAGCAAAGGTCTTTAACAAATTACTACACTTCAAAACTATACCATGCAGAAAACAAACACCACCAAAAATTAGTCATTTTGTTACAGTTAGTTTAGCATCCATATTAAAAGTTAAGAAATTACTCTGGAATAATCAAAGTATCTCCTGAAACTCAATTAAAAAATTTGGTATCTAATGGGAAAAAGCTCACACAACCATTTCAGTAGTTAATGCATAATTTGAATTATGCTGTTTCTCCCAAGATGTAATGCAAAATGCATACAAAGATGAATCTTCAAATATTAAGTCCAAGCTCATAAGCATATACCACTGCAACAGGAGTCAGAAAACAATGCTCAGGACATATGCTGAAAGCTGTTTCCAGCAAATCTTTCAATTAGTAAACATATAATCTACTGGTGTTGTTTGCTTTGAGATTTTTTGTGGCTTCTTTTTGTTTGTTTGGGGTTTTTTTTTGTTTGGGGGGGGTGTTTGTTGTGAGTGGGGCTTTTTCCCCCAAAATTAAGGAAGCAACCAGATCTGCTAGCACTTTAACTGTGCTAACTACAATCATTATTATGGAACAGACACAATCTCCTTCGCTGACTAATGAAACCTGCATGGTGCTTTAAATCTATTCAAACCACTTTAGACAAGCTTCTCTATCCATATATTTTTGGTTTCCTCACACTTCAGTTCTCCACCTTACAAAGTAATTTTAAAGTAGCATGATTTAAAACAATCAAACGCAAGTAAAAACCTGTACAATTAAAGCACTAAGAGTCAAAAATACTGCATTATAATACAATCATTGTTCACTTTATTGTGTTCTGAAACAAAAAGTAGATAGATCAAAATATTAAAAATAAAACATTTAATTCTCACCTAAAATGATTGACATTTGTTTTACTAAGGAATGAAAGCACAAATGAACCTGGTCTCCGATCACTCTCTCGAATAAGGTAACTTCCAGGTTTTCCTGCTTGTCGAAGACGTTCTTCTGCAATTGTTCTGTCAAGTTTTCCATGATACCACCTGAAAAAAAGTTACAACGGGTGTCCTTAGAACTTAAGGGTTTTGTTTACTTTCACAAAACAGACCCATGAAATAAAGAAAATCTTTCAGTCAAAACCCATGTAACTCCAAAACTTGGTCGATCACATTGTTACAATTTCAACCTCCTAGTTTACTTATTTCCAATAAACAGCATTTTTAACACAGCAGTTTTTCAGATAACCTACTTTTCCCAAGGAACAACCCTAAGAGGCAGAGGCTCTACACATATCATTGGTTTTATTTCCTCCCTGATATTTTTACTTTAAAAAAACAGAAACTGAGGTGACTGACCTGACTTGGAAGACTATTGTATTTTAAGCCTACAAAGGTGTCAGTTCAGGCTCAGTATTTCAAAAGCACAAATGGAGAAGTGAATTCTATCAGACTGTTCCTCAGCTGACAGAGATGCAGCTGCAGCAAAGCCGGTAAAGAACTGGACAGCAGTCACCAGGCCACCACCCAGCCCCAAAATCACCTTTCCTAATCACAATGTGCACACTCTCAATCAAAGTGAGTGCCAATACATGGCAAAACACAAATTGCAAAATATGACATAAGAAATCTTTAATCTACTGCTGCCATTCAAGCATTCAATCACCTATCTCAGTTTATTTACACAGCCTTTGTCAGAACACTTGTTCTACTTCAAATGATCAAGAATAACTTTTTCAAGAAAGTAGTGATGGAGAGCAGTTTGCAAAGACTGTCATTGCTCTCATTACCTTCACCAAGCCACACTATGCTCCAGAGCTATATATTGCCATAACTCATTAGCTTCTCCACCTAATTTTGCTTCATTAAACCTTTAATTTTTTACATTCAGAAACAGTCAGCTTCAAAACAGCCAGTGTTTTAGACAATTAAAATCCTCCACCACTTCAGATCACATATGATTTAGTTTTAACAGTTCACAGACTGTTTTGTAACATTCACAAACATGCAATTTAAAAGATACGTAAATGATCTCTTGAACTAATATATGAAAAAAAAAATTTCACAGCATACAGCTTCAAAAAATGAAAAAAAAATAAAAGCTGAGCTCTTGATAAAATCTGAACACAAGCAGTTTTTTTCCCTACAAAATGGAAACAAAAGCTTTGAGAGCTTTTATCAGAACAGAACCTTGATAAACCAAACCAAAAAACACCATTTCACCAGTAGGAGCAGCACAAGCATAAATACAGTTTAACCTGACAGAACTGGCTACTTGCTGGTATTGCTCCCCTTTACTTCTCTTCCTCACCCTGATCAAAACAACCTAAACCAGTAGAAGCACTGTCGTGTCTGTACAACATTGAAAACTTGAAAGTGCTGCAGGCCTAGTTATATTAGCAAGAGCCTGTGTCATTCCATTCCAGAGCAAAGCAGCTTCATGAACAGAAACCTGTTGTTCAAAGACAGTCCACAAAGTGGTCACACCTTCCGGACGAGGGGAGTCTTTTAGGAAATGAAGCAAAATTAAGACAGTTGATTATAAAGTCAATTATAGGATGAAATATTCTGTGTGTCAGTGTGCACAGCACAGCTGAAACCTGAATGAGTTTGCTCCCAACACGTCACAACAGGGCATTGCCTTCTTGGATAGACTGACTTTTGTGAGTATTGTGTCTGTCCGAAACCTCCCTCATTTTGTGCCTCTCGATCATCATGAAAGCCAAGACCACTGGGAAAAGGAAAAGATCCTGTTCTGAAAATCCAGGTCTGTCTGGTCCACCAAGCCAGATTATTGCTTACGGGCATGTTTGCTCAACTCATGGAACACTGCACCCAAGAAGGGGCAGTGTGCTCTCCTTCGCCTGCACCACCTAGCAACGCTAGTGCTGGAATTTCTCCACCCTTTTGACTTGGCTGGACTTTCTCTCTGGAATGACCTTCCTGGAGGTCACCACTAAAAACCCTCCATTCACCGTACATCAACCACCGTGACAGATGGACTGAGATGGGAGAAGGTTCTCCCCTCAAGGACTGAGACATGCGACCCCTACATGGAAAAGCTCCCCTCTTCTTCCCAAAAGGACTGAGACTGAAATCCCTACCGTAGGGTGAGGGAAGGCATGCGTGGGGACTGAAGCAAGTTTTGCAAGCGACCACTGGACCAAGAAGACAATGGTTCTTGCCTACAACATCTGCTGCTGATGACACCTGATGGACTCTTTGTACCCTTTATCAATAGACTATTTTGAAATGTGTCCCCTTCCCCCATTTCAAAAGGACTATAAAAAAGGTTAGAGCTGACTGATACCCTTGAGATCTCCCCTGATGTGAAGACAACAGGCTCTTCATCGACTGGACTTCGAGGGACTTTGTCATCCGCACGTCTGGTAGCTATACACCTCCTTGCCTTTCCTCTCTTCTTTTCCTTATTCTTTCCCTTTTCTCCATTCCCCCTTCTCTCTAACACATCTTTGCTGTGGCTATTCAATAAAAGTATATCTGTTTTGATTTTACTGCAAATCCCCTTGTCATGTCAGTGTTTGCACACTGAGATCAGTGAAAAAGAACCTTCAAGAATCATGTCCTTAGGACGGATCGTGTCAAGTATATAACTCCTCCCTCAGAGACCCAATAAACTTCCCTGATGAAGAAACAAACATTCCATTTCATGAAATCTATTTTAGACTAATAACAGGTTCACTGAGCTTTTATTTGTTCCTATTTATCACCCACTTGAGGAAAATAATCTTAATTCTATTGAGAGAGACATTGCATTAAAATGCCAAATTTAAAGAAAGGCACAATTTCACAATGAAGAAGTGGGAGTCTTAGTATAAATGCAAATTACAAAAAAATAAATTACAGAATAAACAGAAAGACAGAATCATATGCAAATAAAATAATTTTTCTGTAAGGGACCAGGATTTCTAACAACAGCACAAATTTAGGTGCCCCAATTCTCAGTCCAGAAGCTTCAAACAAAAAATACACTCTCCTTGCTGGTGATGGTAATATATATATTGGTATATGCCACATATTGAAGATCATATCTGAACATCACTGAACAGACTATATTTTGTCCCATTCAACATTTTTATATCAAGTGTATCAGAAGACATTTATTACCTGGTAAACCATTTAAGGAAAGGTTTGTTTTCTGAAATAAAAATATTAAGTTAACTTCTGAGTGCAATTAAATTCAGTGAGCCCATATATAAAATGTTAACTTCAGATGGCAAAAAAACACGGTATTTTACAGCTCACTCTGCATTAGTGTAATGTACCAAATTACTCTATAGTATTAGCCGCAGAAATAAATATTAACACTAAATTTAAAACAAACGACAGTAAAGCAGTCAATATTGAGCCATGATAAGAGAAAACAGCTCAACTGATATCATCAGGAAACCTCTGTATTTTTTATACATCTTTAAAAAAACAGGATACACAATTAAGTGCAAACTCTAGTATAATATCTTTAGAGTATGCAAAATGGTTATCAAGAAATAACTGCATTTTTTCACAGAGCAGAGTTTCATCAATACATAAAAACAGTTTATTCACGTAACATACAATCTCAGACCACTGAAAGATATCACTGTCAAAATCAATGTCTTATAACCCATCCTACTATCACCAGTTTTCAGTATTATAGAGAGATACATTCTGCAACTTCCCATCATAATCTTCAAGGACTTTGATAGCAAACAGTAAACACTGTTTTGTAAAACTGCAGTACTCAATCTCATTTAAGGGTATTGACTAATCTAACAAGCACTACAGAAAGATTTTAAGATCTCTTATACTGCATTACAAAGGAAGATCCATCCAACAGTCAGTGCTATCCAAAGAAAGCACAACAGAAATGAGTAAACTACAGAGCTAGCCATACTCCTAATTTCATCAGAGAATAGCGCACAGAATACTCTGAAGGATATAAACAGCCTACCATCATTTCTGAAATGAAATAAAGTAACCCCCAGATCCTTTGGTTTTAACCTCCAATCAGGTAGTTGAGTGAAGCCTGATTATTTCTGCAAAAACAAGAAACCACCTCTCCGAGTTTTCTATGTCAAGACTTACAACTTAAATATTTTGCAATCAAAACAGTTTCAAGTTTATTCTTTTCAGTCCAAAGCAGTGCCAACCACAGAGATTCTTAATTGATGCAAAAGGAATTGCTATGTATGATGTACTGTAAGTCTGATGAAAGGAATTAAAGTTTGGATGGGAAGCTATTACACTAAAAACCTGCTTAGCTAGTTGCCAAATGAATGTGACTTGCAAGTGCTTACACTCAAAACTCTAACTTGCTACTACTTAGATGTACATCCTCCATCACTGCCAAAGATAAGGTCCCTATAATTTCTCATCAGTCACCTCTGCTTGTTTTCCTGATCCTGCCTAGGAACACTTCTGTATTTCTAAAATTACCTTCGCATTTTTCTAAATGCTGACAATCCACTCCTTTCATTGTGTTTTAAGCAAACATAATTCAATTGCATTCTGAATCACAGCTAGTACTCTAACAATGCAGTTGCTGTCATGCATAGAGAGTAAGTAGCCTTACAAACATATGTCATGAAATTATTTAACTATAAAATGTTCTATCAATTACACATCACAATTCAGGTGTTTTTTTTCTGTGACTACCTGCTTAACTTGCCTGCTTTAAGAAACCTGTGTAATTGTTCATTATTTTGCTCCCAAGAGAATACCAGTAAAAGGTTTCCATTTTTCAGAAAACTGCCAAAACTGTTCATAAAAATACTCCCATCTGCCAGTTTATTTCAAAAGCGGTATGTCCAAAACTCCAATCTTATCTATTACAATTTAATTACAACATGCAGACATGCATGCAGACAGAACAAAGACAACAAACATCACAAAGAGCCTCTACATCCACACAAGCAACATACAGGTGTGCAGAAGAATGGTGCCTATACCACCACGCTGAGTGGCTGACAACCATATGTCACGTCATGAACCACATGGAATGAGCTGCACTGCAGTTAGAGCTGCGGCCTCTGGTCCACACACAAACAAGAGATTTTTCCATGCTCCATGGAAGATGCTGGCTAGTCACACCAGCCCCATTAGGCCCAGCCAGCCCTTTCTACTGTGAGGACGGATGCACTCAGCAAGTTCACAGTACAACTACATGGTTTCTGGTCCCTAACACAGCCTCAATACCACAAGGCCTGTGCAAGGAACAAGCCATTCACAAAGAGGTAAAGAGATGGTGGATTTACTATACGGAAGGAGGCAGCTGCTATTAGTGTGGAAGCATGTCACATTGTACAACCAAATCTTTATTTACATATTTCCTTTTTACATGTGGGAAAAGCAAGTGTGAAGTTTTGCCACACAGGCACGCTGCTGGCTTTGGTCATATCCTCATGCCCACATGCTTCTCTGCACAGCTGTTTTCCAGCTGTTTAGCCCCACCACGTGCTTAGGGTTACTACTCCCTAGTGCCAGAGCTCTGTGTTTCCTTTGTTTAACTACACAAGATCTCCCACAGCCTAATTCTTCAGCCTGTCCACTTCACTGTGGATGTCAGCACAACTACCTGGTGTTTCAGCTGCTCCTCTTGCAGTTTCGCATTATCTGTGAACTTGCTAAGGGTGCATGCACTCTGTCCAAGCAGGACACAGTATTGGATCCTGAAGGCACCCTAGGGAATACCCCAAGTAATTTGCCTTTATCTGGACTCTGAGCTACTGATCATCATGCTCTGTTCCCAGTCATTTAACCACTTTTCAATGCACCTCACGTCCTTTTACCTAATCTATACTCTGTCTGTAAGAAGACTATGAAGACAGTGTCAAGAGCCTTACTAAAGTTATGGTAAACTCTCTTCCTTTCTCCCCCGAAACAATGACTACATCACAGAAGGCTCTTAGGTTGGTTAAGCACAATTTTCCCATTATAAATCCATGCTGATTACTCCTCACTACCTTCAGCATTAAATATGATTTAAAGATAAACTAATTTAATAACAGAAACCTTTTTCTGCTCTATTACTAACAAGACAGATAGAGCAGGTATTTTATATAAAAATAAAAACTATTAAAGACCGCCTTCAGTCTTTAAATATTGCATAAAAGTAAATAAAGCAGGTCAAGTGTATAAACTCTGTCAAGCACTGAACATTTTACTAGTACTGACCATACTCTGGAGGGACACTGAGGAATCAACCCTGCAATACTTAAGTGCAGCACAAAGACTATGTAAAAACAAGATGCCTTCTCCTCCCTTCTACTATGCCTATCAACAAGACATATTACAAGACGCTTATTTTTTTGGCGGAGAAAGATATGAAAGAAATGGGAAAACTATTATGGGAATTTTACAAATGTATGCTTGAACCAAAATATGGAGTCCTATTCTTAACAGACCTAAGCCTTCACTAGAAAATTTGTGTTCATCTTCCCTTCACAACCACAGAACATATAGACAAAAAAGCTTGAAAGAACACAGCACAGTATTACATTTCTCGATGGGGTAGGCTAGTAGATGAACTGTCAAAGTCCCACATTGGTATTATGGGACTCAATCAATGACACAAAATAAAAACTAAATAAAGAGCAGGTCAAGAAACCCTAGTTACTGTTTAAACGAAATTACATTATCTAATGTTAACTAGAAATACTGACTAAACTACTGAAAAGTCATCTTCAAACTTCTGGCTTCAAATGCTGTCCTACTTCTGGTTTTATTTCTCTGAAGTTTTCATTTATCTATGAACTAAAACACTCAGTTTACTTACTGCTTCACTTCCTGTAGCAGGCTAGGTACAATGTTGTGTCACTGTGTTTAACCACTCATTTAAGACAGTACTTCTAACACCACACATCCAGCTGGAGCGGCCTAGAGTACACTACTCACCAACTTTTGAAAAATAAGGTGTTGTCTTCCACACACAACCGGAACTAATGAAGAAATTCATTATCTAATAAAGACAATATTCTATGCTAACTACATTAACTGCTAAACAAAGAAAGCTCATACACTAAAATCTATTGACATCACATTTCATTTTCTTTATACAGTACCTAACGGAACATGCCAACATTACTTCCTCATAGTTTGCAGTGCAACAGATTCATTCATTAGTCTGGAAAAAGGCCTTCCGCAATTATTCAGAAAAAAATATTTTCATGAGTTACTGGAACAAATGCAGGACTCTCAGCTTGCCACCTTGAACACTCAAGTGAAGATACTAGAACTTCACTCTACAATCAGGCAGAAAAATGGTCTACTTTAATGCAATCCATTCTTATTTAATATTTCTCTACCTGTCTTCATCTTCAGTGCTTTTTCTTATGCTGCCTGAACAAGCTCCAAGAGTGACTGTAAGAATACATCTGCTTTGGGCAAGATTTGTTTTAACCAGAGAGTATTTTGACAGCCTATTTCATTTTGTGTGGTTGATCACTTTCAGATTCCAACTGATTTCCATTTCAAACTAATAAGCACTACTCAAAAAACACTATACGAAAATGCCAGTTTTGCTGCAATACTGGAATGGCTCCTGCCACATTAATGCAACACTAGGACAGAAAATGATTTTGTCAACTAAGATTTTAAATCAAATATATAACAGAATCAGCATTTATTCATTCATTAAATCCAAAGGCATTTCCTTATGCTATTTGAACCTCTGTCACTGAGCCCTGCAAATAGGACAGAAAGCAAGGGGAAAAATCACCTAAACAAATACAGTTGCCCACTTTATTCCCTAACATCCTGCGCATCCCACCTAGCATTAAGCTGCAACATAAACACACCACTGCTGCACTGCATAAAAATGAAAACCCCCACACACACACTGAATAGACGAGCCCCAAGTTAGTTTCACTCCAGATCAAAGATTTAAAAAAATCAATCCAACTGGGGGATTCTGAGTTTGTGAATAAAGAGAAGGGATTATATGCTAGTATCCTTCCACTGCTTGAATATTGAAAATACACACTAACAGAAGACATATTCCCCAGATCTCCCTGAGCAAACTATATTTACAACATCCTTACGGGAAGTTCAGAACCTGCAGGTGCTTCATTTCCCATCTCTCTTGTATTAATTACTACAAAAGCCAGAATGCCAACTTTACACCATTTAAAAGCATACTCGTGTTTAAAAAAGCATTTGTAACATCTTTACAGCCTAAAAGCTGTAAAGATGAGCTTCTTTGTTTGCTTTGGGCTTGTTTTTTTAATTTGCAAAACAAGTTCGGAGAAGTTTGTTATAGAAGCTATTATAATTTTATGTCCTACTTAAAATGACAATGGCTCCTGAAATCCTAAGAGTATGTAACATAATGCCAAAGTTAACTCTGTCAGTCAAGTTATGACAGAATATAAAGAATGAATCAAATATTTCACACAGATTTTTAGGTTAACTTTCTGAGCTATCTATATATATATATCTCTTTAAATACAACTGTATGTTACTCCCCAAATTATCCACTACACACAAGAACAACATATTTATAGAAATTATACAAATGAAAAAATATAAACTTCTGAAACCATTTCATTTTGGGGAGAATATGCTAAGGATATGGAAGAAAGGTTTATTTTCTATTCTAACACACTCCTTGGAAGTGCTTTGAGTAAACCTCCAGATTTTCTACAGTGAAATCCAAAGGTTGTATTTAGAGTACTTACTAATTACATGGACTCTATATAACATTATCTGATCTTATGTTTCACACAACTTAAACAAAGAACTAGTCTGCCTCTAGTGGAACATTCTTTCTATTACCAGCACTAAAGGAATCCAAATTAACCCGATGTACGGATAAATACAATAAAACCTAACTATAAGTCTACAGTTTATTCCAAGTGTCTCCTCTCTCCAAGCATAACCTACATAAAAACAACTTTAAATTGGCTGAGCAGCAAGGCAGTTAAAACATTTATAAAAATATCCCTCTTAACACTTTTAAAATTAGAAATTATTTTAATTCCTTTTAAATTCATGATTCAAGACTGCCTGAATTTTCAAAAAGATTCAACAAGTGGGCATTACTTTGGCTGTTTCTATATGAAATGGAAAAGATAAGTTGTTTGGGTTTTTTTCAGCAGAAAGCAATGCAATAGAAAATGATGACATGGCAGATAAAGTCTTTTACACCATGGACAGTTTTTTTTACTCTATTTACATAAATTAAGTTTATGACTCTACCGAGCAGGGGCTACTAGCGACTGAAAAAGTCTTCCCCAACAATTAGTTTAAACCACAACCGGAATAGTTCACTCTTCCCGGCAGCCTCTGCAGTAGTGCTACGAAAACTTACAAAAAACTAATTCAGCCGCCTCTTTCCCGTGAGCTGACCCCACCCAGTACCGGAGGGGGAGGACCAGCTCCCCCTCAAGTGGAAGGAGTACGACCTCCCTGCTGCCGCCGCTCACTGTCCCGACCTACGGGAGGGCTGCGCTCCACAGGCCCCGGGCACTGTCCTCGTGAAGCAAACTTCCTGCTGGAACGGAAGCGGAGGAGGGAGGGAAGGTGAAGAGGTGGGACGCAAACCTTCTGCGAGACTTCCAGCCGAGTTTGACACACACTCTCCCCGGCTAGCGGTGGGGGCCCGACCGCGCGGTACCCACTCCCCACAAGGATTGAGGCGGGTGCGGTGGGTACTCACTGATTAGTGGGGGGCGCGTTGAGCGGAATGGCCACCTCCTCTTCCTCGTACTCCGGCCCGTCCAGTGAGTCTCCCTCGTCCACTGTCCCCAGCCCCCCGGCCAACGCCGGGGGGGGTGGCAGCGGAGGGAAGCCGGGATCGGCATTCCCAGCGGCCGCTGGAGGGGCTGGCCCCGGGCCCAGCTCCAGCAGCTCCAGAACTGAGCACAAATCCGGCCCGCCTGGGGGGCCGCCGCCGACCAGGAAGGGGCCTTGCGGCTCCGGCGCCCGACCACGGCACAAGACGGGGCAATGCCCCAGCTCCCCGGCCGCGGCTCCCGCTGTCCCGGCCACAACGCCCGAGCCGCCGTCCTCACCCGTGGCCTCGGCCGCCATCATGTTGAGCCTCGCCGGCGGCTTCACGCCGGGGAGGAGGTGACAAAGGGGCTCCGGGCCCCTGCCCCCACCGCGCCCCCCCTCCCCGACGCGGCAGGCAGCGGACCCGGAACGCAGCTAAAACTTCCCGGCGGCGACGGGCCGGGAACAATGCCCGGCTGGGCGGGGGCTGGACTGCTCCACAGGGCCCCGCACGGCTGCCTCGGCCCGCTGCCGCCTCAGGGAAGCGCCGCCCTCCCGGGGAGCTCCGCGCTTGCGCGGCACCTCTACGCTTGCGCGAGAGGCACGGCCTCGGCCGGGCTGTGCTGGGCTGCGGGCGTGGAGGGAGGCTGTTGTACGGGCCCGGGAGACAAAGGGCTCGTTCCGCGGCCGAGGTGTTGGAAACGCGCGTGAGTAGGGTAGGATTCTCTAGTTCAACCCAACATGAGCACTGTAGCTCTGAACCCGTATGATCCAGTGCCAGATCCAAATGCCATTTGAATAGTTCCAGGGATGATGACTTCATTTCCTCCCTAGGCAACCTGGTCCAATGCCTGACCACCCTAACAGTGAAGAAAAGCCACTGAGTGTCAGCTCAGCTTATTCTGTGTGATTCTCTGTAATCAGAATCTGCTCCATCTCGGTTTGAAGCCGTTTCCCTGGCCCTGCCACTGCAGACAGTAGAAGAGACCAGTCCCCACCTCACTATGGCCTCTCTTCAAGTACTGATAGAACAAGTGGAAACAGTTTTATCAAGGGAGAATTAGACTGGATATTAGGAAAAAATATTTCACTGGAAGGGTGGTTAAGCACTGGAACAGGCTCCTGGGGGAACAGTGGACTTGCCATGGTTTCATGGTGGACCTGTCAGTATTAGATTGATGGTTAGATTCGATGATCTTGGTGGTATTTTCCAACCTTAATGATTCTGATTAAATTCTAACAATAAATTTTAAAAATACATCCTGGTGGTATTGTTTACCTTGTAAGAACTGTGACTGTGTACTTCCCTGAAACTGTATTTTTGTCATGTTACTCAAGCTTGCAAGCTCTCAGTCCCACCTTATGCAAACCTATACCTACCTTCAACATCAACCATTTTTCTCCTCCTAAACTAAAGTGTTTATTTGGTACAACAACTTCGATTCATACCTAAAGATGTTGTTGGCTAGAAAGAGGACCTCAAATGTCAAACTGAAAAATCGGAATCTCCTGCTGCTCTTGTGAGGATGGGGGCCCCAGCTCTGCCTACATACCAGCAGACACAGCTGCATTCATCCTCCTCCTCCCTGTCACTCCTGCAGAGCAGCGACAGCATGGGCGCGACCCATCGGTTCTCTCCACCCAAGCTGATTTTTAATAAAGGCATTAAAAAAGGAGAAAGATCTCCTGCCCTATTTATTTCAGTTTTGTGCCCAGGATCACAGTGAAAAGAGAAGCTGGCTCTAGCCCTCAGTCTATACCATAATAATACACCCATTTACTGCTGGTTTTCTGCTTTAAGAAATTGTTATTTCAAGGAATATTGGAGGCTGCTCTCTCTGTGGATTTCCCTTTACTGCTTCTTGCTTCCCTCACAGATTTCTAAACAAAATAATTTTAACCTTGTCACTGTAGCAGTAGCAATAAGCCTAAATATAGAAATGCAGTGTAAATATTTTAAAGATTCCCTTTATGAGGCAAGCTTTTCTAAGTGCCTTCCAGGGAAGCAGCATGTGTGTGGGGACATGGGGATTGGACAGACAGCTGTGCTAAGAATTTTACTCAGGAGGGGGTAATGTGTCTGCAACACTCTTTCAGGAGGTTTATTTTGGTGAGAACAGTTTTAAATTTGAAAAGGATTCTGCAGAGAAAGAGTTCCTAGTAATACCAGCTGAGCTGTTATCTCTGTGTGCACCCGACATACCTTTTCTGTTCACTTTGCAAGCCAAGTTGCCTATTTAGAATCATGAAATATCTCGGCTTGGAAGTGATCTATAAGGATCATTGAGTCCAACTCCCTGTTCCTCTCAGGACTACTCAAAACTACAGTTACAAGCCTTCATGGGACTTTTTCATAAATAGATGTTTTTTTATGAAGGGGCAAGCGTAACAATATTTTTCTTGATACTTCTTGAGCTTCTGTAAATATGTCTTATTCTAAAATCCCTGGTATAAATGACACTAGGATAGTCAGTCCTTCATCCCTGCTGTGCTGGAATGGTGTCAGGCTAGATTCCCTGAAAAGTACATTTTCATGTTCCCTAGTTTGAGCTAATTATAATAGTACATATTGTGAGAATAGTGGCGGTGGGGTGGGGCATTCCAGGCAGATGTATGCCTGATTAGGAGCTCAGGTGTTTGGGCTGGGGTTGTCACTGTTTTGTGTGGCATTGTGCTAGTAATTTCAGCAAGGTTGTTCTTTTTCTGTCAGTGAAGTAAGAAGCTATTTCACAGATATGTCAGAGGATCAATTAGGTTTTTTTACAAAATTTGAAAGCTGTTAAACACCCTAATTATTAGGTGTAAAGCTACATAAAGTGGCTTTCAGTTATTAAAAGGGAAGGTGTTACTTTTATAGTAGATACAGATACCACAAAACATTCCTTTCACTCCTTATTTCCTGCTTCTCTCTTCTGCCTGAGCACAATTTATTTCTGCCTTTCTAAAGTTTTGTCCCATTTCAGAAATTAATAGCAGCACAGGAATTTTCAGTCTTTCTGTCATAGGATGGAGTGATAAGAAAGCAGTTTTCCTGTACTGAAGAACCTGGAATGCTCCAACTATTCCAGTTCTTCCCCTTGTACTCCCACAGGTATAAAATTAACAGTTACAGAGAGTGTTGCTTCTCCCTACCTGCATAGCTGTCATGCTACATATATTGCTTTTCCACTTTTCATACACTTGCCATGCTAGCAAGGAAGTTGTGGGTTATGGGGGCTGGGAGGAGACACAGCCAGGACAGGTAACCCTAACTGACTAAATGTGTATTCCAGAACATGTGACATCATGCTCAATATATAGAGATAAGAGGAGAAGTGAGAACATTGGGAGTGATGACATTTTTTTTTCCCAAGTCACTGTTACATGTGATGGGGCCCTCTTTCCTGGAGATGGTTGAACAACTGTGTTCCCTTGGGAAGCAGTGGATTGATTCCTTGTTTTGCCTGTGGGCATGGGTTTTGCTTTCCCTCTTAAACTGTATCTCAGCCCATAAGTTTTCTGGATTTACCATTTCAATCCTCTCCCTAGTCCTACTGGTGGGGCAGTAAGCAAGCATCTGCTTAGGGCTTGGCTTCTGGCTGGGCTTTTAAACCATGATGCCCTGTCAACTCAACACCTCTTTAACTGTAGTAGCATAGAAAAAAGTGCTATATGATTGCTCTATCAGTTTTTTTAGTGGCTGTGATCTTTTTATTAAAATTCCATATTATTGTCTGTGTTTAAATGCAAGAGAAACCTTACTATTTATACTTACCTATATTTATAATTTATGCCTTTATAAAAAGCGTGTTTGCATTCTCCCATGAGCCTGTGTATACTGACTCGAAATATAGATACACTGAACAATTATGTTAGGTTTTAAGAAACACTAAAATTATCCTCATCTTTGGAAGCTGATTTGTTATTGAGTTTTTGGTGGTTTTTTTCTGTATGAAGAAATTAAAAACTGAGTTGCAAAGGACAGCTTTTTTTTTCAATTTTAAATGTGACAGTATTTGCATGTAATAATTTCCACGTTTAGTTAATTATGTCTAACTTCCATAAGGGTTCTCAGTAATGATGGAGCTTAGGTTTCTACAGTATATTTCTGGCTGTTGATGGACAAAAGTTACATGTTGACAAACATCTTCATGTTTTTGCAGCTGCTTAGGTATCCTTTGGATGGTGCTTCTACAGAAGCTAGGGAAAGGCAAACACATTATAAGAATGAACAAACAGGAAAATATAACTACACTCTTAATACCTACACAACATCCTCTGGAACAGTGATGTAACCTGCGCAGGATAAACCCAGCTGTTGCATGGAGGACTGTCTTTCATTTCAAATTTGGCTAATTTTTTGTGCTGTTTACTCTGAACTCTTTAAATAAACAATTAATAACACCGTTGAAGAATGCATCATTCTCATAATTTCAATAAAATAATTTCTCAGTTTGTGGTTATTCATTCCACTGACTTAATATAAAGCGTCTACCTATATTTTGTATTTAAATAAAGAATATTTCTGTCAGGCATAGCTATATGTATAACATATTAAAATCAACAAAATTCTTTAATGCATGTATTAATCATATTCTATCTTGATGGTAGAAATTTATGTCCTGCTTAATAGAACAATTAAAGAGTAAAACTCTAGATGTAGATGCAATAAAATGTAGTGTAATATATAAACTACAGATTGGTCTTTTCAAGGAGAGTTTATATAACGAAGCTTATAAAATGATAATAGTGGAAGTTATTTTGAATTTAAAATTTTCATGTAAGTTTCCGGGGGGAAAAATTAATGTCATTTACCAGGAAAAAAAAATCTTTTTGACCTACATTTTTAAATTACTGTCTCTATGAATTGTGTTACTGAAAACTGAAAAGTAAGGAGAGAAAATACTGATTCATGTAACAGACTTTTTTTATCTAAGGTGTAGCTAGATCTAATTTCTGGACATCAGATCTATATGAAGTCAATTAAATTTTAAAATGTCTGCTCATGTGGTGCCATCACATTTTCTGTATGCACTTACTGACTGTACAGAAACTAGTATTTGCATGTGAGACTTACAAAATGTATTTGCAAAATTAGTAACTTTCTAAGGTCATATTTACACGTCTAAACCATCCATTCTGAATATGTATGTATATATATATTTCTTTATGTATATATTCACATGGAACAAGTTCCCTCATATTTTACTCTGGGATAGTTTAGGTGTCCTATTGTTCTATTTACACTTTATTTTCTATATGTCTTCCATCATGGGGTGATTTTTTCCATCAAGACATATTTCTCAATTAGAAAGAAGAAATTAATTGTTAAAGTCCAATATGCTAACTCCAATTCTTAAAATTTTTGTTTTAGAATTCTATGACTTAAGACACTAAATCTAACTGCAAGATTTAATAGGTAAAAAGCTGTGATTTGTATTATGTAACTGCCCAGACACCTAAACTTCTTGACCTTATAATGTGTTAATTTAAACATTTACTTCTCACATAGTCTATTTATCACTTTTTCCATTACTATTGTGTATTTTCTTGTGATAGAATTTACTTGTATGAAACAATTTGTTTAAGCTGGTTGTATTTCTGTTGTTGATTTTGAAATCACTTCCAGAAGATGAAACTACTAGGAGTAGGAACATATGTAGTCTATATTTTTGAGGAGTGATGTAACTCATTCTAGAATAACCTAAACATACTTACACAGTGATTATTCAATTTTAACTTACTGTGGATTGAATTCTAAAAGGTATTAAACAATTAAACTAGCTGTCATTTCACTGTTCTATTTAAATCCGAGGTACCTAAATATTTAACGGTGATAATACTTTGAAAGGTATAGAAGTATTATATATATGCTTCAATATAACATTAATGATGATTAGGAAAAAGGGGAAGTTCAAACAGTGCATCTGATGTATGGCACCTGCTATATAGGGGCAATTATTGTAGCAGCAGTTAGCTACAAATAATACTAGTTTCATTTGACATTTAAATGGTAACTCATTAACACTGATGAAATTTAATCTAAGATTTTCCAAGATGTGCTGGGATATAGTTGTTCATTTGCTGCTTTTTCAGCAAAGCTTTGCAGCCTTCACTGATATTGCACAATTTGCAGGGATACCCATTTCCTCATAATGAGCAATGGCACAGATTTTTCTAACTTTATTTCTGTAAAACCATGAAAGATGAGCTGTTTGGAGAAGTATATCAATCACAGGGTATATAATATGAATACACGAGGCTTTGGCTGTATTTTGGAAATTGTACTGTGTAAACACCAGTATATGTGCTTATAACAGTAGCAGGTTTTAGCACAGTGAATAGAAAATTAAGGAAGACTAAATACTAGTATCCTTCTAACTAATGAGAAATTGCAGTGTACAAAAGGAATAGGCACATCTAGTCCCTGCAGGAGACAGGCATAGGGCCACCATGATGGGAATAAAGGGTTCTGGCTTCAGCTTAAATTCATGCCAGATGGTGGTCAGCAATTCCCAGAGATACAAAGGCAGACTGGCAGATTTCAGACAAGGTTACACTGCCTTTTGGATGGATTTAGAGCTGGCAGTGGTCTTCACTGGTCTTCACTATGTAGGTATTTGAGCCTACTGCTCCATCTTTTAAATCTGGTTTTCACTGTAGAGAGAGATCTGTCTACACCAGCAGATTAGCTCATGTTTCTTCTGCATAAAAGAAGACAGCGTCCCTTCACACTCAGAAAGGATGCTTCTTAGTATTGGTGCTTCTGAGGTTTAGTGTATTAGGAGGGGAGTGGAGGACTGACAGATCACCTCCTATGGTACTAGTCTCAATTGGGCTTGCCTTTAAAGCCTGGGTATTCCATGCCTCAATTAAAGCATATAATTGAAAAAGTTATGGGCTTGTGTATGTGATTTACAGCAGTGCACATGATACTGTTCCAGTCTACAAATGAACTCGCATATCTGTAACTCACATTTCTTCTGGATAATGTATTCTTGTGGGAATGAAAATTTGCATCAACATAAATTTGTTTAGTTACATCTGTGCCAAACTATCTAGTAATTCTGCATTTGCCTTCCTCCTTTGCTTTCTCACCTTTCCATTCTACTGTCGAAACCAGCCAATCCACTTATTGGCATCACCTCTGTTTCCCAGGGAATAGAGTAGCTGGACAAGAGGAATGCTGACATTATCTCCTTGTGTCAATACCAGCATGTGGCCATATTGACACAATATTCTGCCTTTTCTATCCCTCAGTTTGGATGCCAGCATAGCAAGAATATACACTATTTTTTTAGAGCTTTACCACGCCTCATGGGGGGTACAGGAATAAACCAACTTAAACTAATGCACCCCAACAATCACCTAACTTAAGATTATGGATATGAGACTCTAGGAAGAAATTAAAGTAAATCCTACCTCTCAGGTACAGAAAATATGGCATATTTGAGAGTAGTATCATGTCAGTGGAGAAGCAAGGTCTCAGATTAATTGATCTGCAGTGCTATAATGAGAGTACTGTACCAACAATTCCATAAGCAGCAATATGAAAACTTTATTATCAGTGTAACATCAAGAGTCTTACACGTTGCCAACTGCTTAAGATCTTAAATTGCTGAGACTCATTGAAAAACAGCAATTCTGTTAACATAGACTTTAATCCAGCCACAGGGTACAAGATACCATGTTTAAGATGTAAAAATTGCTGTATTAAAGTAGTAGGAACTGCCAATCTTCATCTTGCTTTCTCAAATACCTTCCAGGGTAATAGCAATTTGTATGAAGGGCCAAGATGCCCACACCTGGAAGGAGGGTTGCTCAGATGTGTCATGAAACCCATTTTCACACTTTCTTCCATTGGAAGAGGAAGGGAGATGGGAAACATGTTCTCTTAGTTTTATTTTTGTAGCTTTGCTTGTATATGTTGTATCTTCAGTTGTTTGTTTTTTTTTCATGTCTTCCTCTGCCTTCATGAAGAGTTACATTTTCCTTTGCTGTTTTGTTGCACAGATTAGCAAAATATCTTTTGATATTAAGAATAATGTATAATGATGAATTAAACAAGCCTCAAAAGGAAAACTTCTCTTAATGCAATACCATGCTGTAATTATTTTTAAATTGAAAGATAGCACTAAGAGACCTATGCCATCTTTCTGTATCCTTATTTTCAATGAAAAATAGCTCATCTATAATCAAGTGTATCCAATAGGCTGTATTCTGCCAATGGAGGTTATCTCGGAGATGAATGGTTCCACAACATGCTTTAAAGTACACAGAAAGAGAGGAAGAAAGGGATGTACCCCTCAAATATTTAAAAACAAACCAAAGAACTGAACTACACAAATAGCATTCTGGGAAGATAGAAGTTGTACTAACATTCTCCAGACCCTTTAGTGTTATGGAAATTTAATATTGCAGACTGTTCTCCAAATCCAGAAAGTCACTGATATTAACTGCAGCTCGCTGCTTTATTTTGTTTTTAAAAAGCATGAAAGAAAAGGCCAACAGAAATTCTGAAAATTGTTAAGAACATGGAAAGTTTACTCAGCAGTTCATGGAATCATAGAACTACAAAATGGTTTGGGTTAAAAGGGAACTCAAAGATCATCTAATTCCACCCCTCTGCCATTGGCAAGGACATCTTCCACTATCCCAGGTAGCTTCAAGGCCTGTTCAACCTGGCCTTGAACATTGCCAGGGATGGGGAAACCACAGCTTCCCTGGGCAACCTGTGCCAGGGTCTCACCACCCTTGCACAGAAGAATATTTTCCTAATATTTAACCTAACCCTGTCTTCTGACAATTTAAAGCCATTCTCCCTTGTCCGGTCACTCTATGCCCCTACCAATACTTCCTCTCCAGCTCTTGGGAGCCCCTTTATGTGCTGGAAGGGGCTTTAAGGTTTCCCCTTCTCTTTTCCAGGCTGAACACCCTCAACTTTCTCAACCCGTTTCCATAGCAGAGGAGCTCTAGCCCTCTGACCCTCATTGTCACCTCCTCTGGACTTGCTCCAACAGATCCACATCCTTTTTATAATAAGGACTCTAGAGCTGAACGCAGTAGTACAGGCAGGATCTCACCAGCGCAGAGCGGGAAGTTTGGGGTTTTTTTAACCTATTCTAAACAATCTCATTTTTCAAGAACTGATTGCCTCTGCACATAGACATGGAGGATGAAAGGTGAAAGAAACCTAAGAAATCCAGATGGAATGTGTCATTCCTTAAAACTTATTTAGGTAAGATAAGGAACAAAGCCTGCTAACAGCGTTCCTGTACAGACCCGCTCATTTTGGAAGAGTCATTTCAATGGAACATCAGAGTAATGCAAAGTCAATACTGAATATTTTAAAAGCTTGTGGGAGCATCACATTTTCAAGATATGGAACAAAGGAGGAATATCAA